ACCTTTCTGGCATGGTAGGACCTGCAGGAACATAAGTTCCAGCCAGTATAGCTTGTTGGGTCATTGCAGTGTTCAAGCCCGACCACCACGTCAAGGTAGCAGCTTTCGGTCGGGAGAACGGACTTGTTCTTCGCAGGATTTGGAGAGGCGAAGTAAGGCCGGCCGAAATCTCTCGCCAAGCCAGTCAGCCGATGTGTCTTCTCTCAATGGAAGCAAGAATAAAAATCGGGACGTGGAATTTACGCACAATTTACGAGGCAGGGAAGGCTGTCCAGGTAGCCAAAGAAACGAGAAGATATGGCATAGAAGTTCTGGGTATCTGCGAGAGCAGATGAAATGGATGTGGACCGTCAAAATTGTCAACCGAAAAGTCAGTAATCTACTCCGGTCTGGCAGACAAGACGACAACCACGATCACATTGAGTGAGTAGCTATAATTATGTCGCCAGCTGTAACCAAAGCCCTAATTCAGTGGGAACCAACTTCGTCCTGCAGGATCATGACAGCAAAACTCAACTCAATAGGAAAGAATGTTACAAACAACGCGGAACATGAGACGAAGGAAGATTTTTATCGACAACCACAAGCTGTAATGGACAACATCCCAAATGGAGACATCAAAATCCCTATGGGCGATATGAATGCCAAACTGTGTGCAGACCATACAGAAGAGGAATTCATCATGGGTCGAGAGGCTCTGGCGCGGATAAATGCATGAGAACGGAGAATTATTCGCAGACTTCTGCGTTTTCAATGACTTGATGATTGGAGACAGCATGTACAAGCACAAAAACATACACATGGCGAGTGACATGGATTTTGCCTGACGGACAAACCACAAACCCGATAAAACTCAATGCTGCTCAAGGAAGTGGGGACGCAGCCTGTTGGACACAATGTCGAGAAGCGGAGCAGATGTGGTCACAGACCACCATCTTGTTCAAGGAACCTTCAAGGTGAAGCTGAAATCCTTCAGAACAACTAGAGACAGGCCAAAATTCAAGTTCAACATTCAGACACCAAAAGATGTAACTACCTAAGATACCTTCATTACAGCCATCACAGCAGATTCAGAGAGATCGAGTGGTATCACTAAGGAAACCTGTGTGCAAAGACATTGGAACTATCTGAAAGTTATTTTCAGGGAGATCTGTACAGCCATTTCACCAAGAGGTAAGACTTGAAATGGCACTCCACACACACCTGTAAGCTAATAGAAGAGATGCAGATAGTGAAACAGAAGATGAACTAATGTACAGGTGGACAACAGAAGCAACAGCTGATACCAATGGACATCGCACTCAATAAAGATGCAACGAAGAGTGTTAGGAAAGATAAAAGACATTTCTGGGACACATTGGAAACTCGAACAGAACGGGCTGCAGGGAGAAGAGACCTCAAAACATTATATCAGATAACCAGGTCTCCATTCCGGAAGAGATCAACACAGATGAAATCTATAAAGTATGGTCAAGAGGAACTAATTTTTAGAGATGAGACAAAGAAAACAATGAGCCGATCGCCTCAAAGGACTCGTGAGTCAGCTATTGTCTGTCAGGCGTCCAGAATTACCACCAACAGCTCGCACAGAACTGACTGTCAGTGGACACGAATCCCACGAAGTCTTGGGTGGAGTCAGAGTATTGAGGGCCGGGAAGGCAGTAGGATCGGTCGGAATACCTCCGGAAGCACTGGAAACGGATACAGAGGCTGCAGTGGGCACGCTGACACAGCTTTTGCCAAGAATTCGATGGAGAGGAAAGGTACGCGTAGATTGGAGGAATGGTCAACTTGTCATACTACCAAAGGATGGTGACAGTGGTCTATGCAAGAACCGGCGCAGAATCATGTTCTCGTCCACACCAAGCGAAATATTGAGTCGAGTCATTCTGGAGAGAATAGAAGATATATGGGATGCAGAACTCCGCCAGCACGAAACAAGCTGTATTCAGGAAGGGCAAAACATGTGCTGATCAAATTGCAACTCTACGCACCATCATCACAGAACAAAGCCATAGAATGGCATTCAAACTCCTACATTGACTTCGAAAAGCCCTTCGACAGCGTAGGTCGCTAAGTAATTTGGAAACTGCTTCAGCACGATGGTGTGCAGTGTCCGAATCTCCATCAACCTCATTCAACAGCTACATGACAATGCCACGTGTCAAGTGATCCACAACGGGAAACTTAGCGAAGCCTTTGAAGAGTAAGTCAGGGCTGCCTACTGTCATTGATGCTATTCGTGATTGTGGTGGGTTGGATTATGCGGCAGGCCCTGAAAGGGTGGGGGGCGAGAAGATAGGAATACGTTGGACCGATAAGAAGACTCTAGAAGATCTGGATTACTCAGATGACTTGCAGGCGAAAGTCTACAAACTGACTGAAAAAGCAGCGAAGATGGGATTCTAGAACACAGAGAAGACGAAGTTGATGGGAATAAGCAACCAACAGCCACAACCACCAGCACCAGTCATCATCAACAGGAGAGACTCGACAGAAGTAGGGGATACTTCATTCACTTATGTAGGAAGCGTCATTTCAACCACAGGGAGTCGGTCCAGATGCATATGTCAAAGCCATAGTCGGTGAGGCAAGACACGACTTCATCAACCTGAAATCAGTTTGCAAATCTACTGCACTCAGCATAAACAACAAGATTCGGATTTTCAACACAAATGTTAAGTCTGTTCTTCCATACGAGTAAAGAACTTGGAGAGTCACGGGAAAGATTTCCAACAGGTTACAGATTTTTGCCAACAGCTACATCGGCTCCATAGTGAAGGTCAAGTGGCCAGAAAGAGTCGACAGCAAGAAACTCTGGCTGGTAGCAAACCAATCAAGAACCGACTGCTCAACAAATATGCAGAAGGAAATGGAGATGGATTGGGCATACGCTGAGTTGGCCGTCAAGTGACGTCGTGTGCAATGCAGGCCATCGCTAGAGTGGGAAACGACGACTTGGTCGTCCGATGGTAACACGGAGGAGGTCGTGCAAGGAAGAGATTATGGGAAGTCTTGTACCCAGATGAAGAGGACAGCGGAAAACAGAACAAAGTGGAGATGTGTTGTTGAAGCCCTATGTTCCACTCGCAACCCCAGGGAATACTATTAATAATCTACTTGACTTGTTGATAATAAAAATATTATTTTGCTGGACTTTATATAATAAGCTAGTGTTTGGTGCTGAAAGAAAAGCCTGTGTCAAAGCAGTTTTTATACCTGCAACCATCAGTCTGCCCCAGAAACTACTTGTATTAATCATTACTCTTTACGAAGTGCTTGAACAAGTTTTCTGTCCAGTTAAACTTCTGCTTTCTTCTCAGTAACACTAGTGATGCTAATGCAGCAGAGAAATAACAATTTAGTGCTCATTCATTAGATGGTGAATTTGTATGTTCCAATTAACAGCTCATAGGACTTTACTGCAATTGAAGTTATGTTGAATGAACAAAATGAAGTCACCTCAATAAATACACAAGTTTGTTAGATTTATTTGCAATTTAAAAACTTTTGTTACTTAGCAGAAAGCCTTTGTTTGTACTAAGCGCAGTTATTTGTAGGAAACATTTCAGTCTAAGAAGCTGGTAGTCTTCTAAGTGTACCGAAGTTACTGCTGTTAGAAGAAAACCGTACATCAGACGGTTCTATTGATTTATTGCAAATCTTGTCGGTAAAGGACAAGCTGATGTGTAATTCAGAACTGTAAGTAGTCAATTATCTGCGATAAATCTGTTTTTTATTTCTTAACGTTCCCAATGGAACATAGGGCTTCAAGCTATAAGCTTGAAGTTTATGTAGCAGTGGTGATTATTTTTACAGGATGGGGTTGCTAGCCTCATGCCCAACCTTCCCTCTTTACCCAGTCTTATTACTGGTTTGATGAGGCAAAGGAGTGCGTTGGCGGGGGACCGAATCCCAGACCACCGGCGTCGTCGGCGAGTTTTCTGCCGTTGCGCCACCGAAGCACAGCGATGAAGCTGTAACTGATGAAAGCAACAGAAAATTCTGGAAAAATCCTAAAACTTTTGCCATGAGCTAAGTAGTTCCCTAGGTAATGTGATACAATTCGTGTACAAGCAGTGATTTTACTTGTTTATTTTCATGTAACTAAGGGGTAGGATTTCAGTCTGGGATATTATTTAGGTGCTTTTAAAAATATTTCGTTTCAAATCTGTTTTATCAGTTATTATATTCTTTTCGTTTGAAAGGAATCTCCACTGTTCACCTGCTCAATTATTACTGCCTAATGATGTAGCTGAAGGTGTCTTTCCTTTCTGTTTCACGCAAGACTTATTAAATATCTGTTTTCGATTCCTTACTAAATGTCATCGTTGGTCATTCCTTTTTGTGTTTTCAGTTTCCTACCTATGTTTGTGTGAATTTTCTGGTAATTTTTAAAGACGTTGTTGTATTCTGTCAGACAAGACTTTCTAGTCTCCTAGGTTTTTGTCCATTTTGCCCTTTAAAACTATCTATTTTCACCACTCATCTAAGTTTGTATCTCAACGCTTACACCTGTTATGTCTCCCAATCGTAATCGGTATTTCAACTATTGTTGTTACAGAATATCGAATTTCAGTCTTTTGTTAGTGGTATGCAACTTACTTTCTGTTGATTGCCCGAAATTTTTCCCTACAAATTCATATATTCTACAACTAACTGCAGGTTATGAAGTAAATCTTTTCTATACGATGATATTTTATCCTGCCTGTTCACAGTCTCACTACTCATTTTATAGGACAACTGTATATTCTACTTGATTGAGTCTCGATTTGTCGGTCTAAATATATGAGTTTCAACCAGTCACCATCATATTTGAATGCTATTCCAAATACTGCAGCTGAGACAACCAGGTAGTTTCTTAGGTCAATGTATAACGGGTATGTTTGACTGCCATATGAACGATCATGAGCGTTGTAGATGTAAGATTATATGGATATACATCCGACAAATAACATTTTATATCTTAATTTAATTTTCACTTCTGGTTAAATTTTCAGGCTTGCATGGCACATCAAAAGCATACTGGAGGTATCATCCCACTACGCGAATTGGTGTCTTTATTGAACAAAAATAGATCAAAATACGAATCAGAAATCAGCGACGATGATGTAAAGAGGTCGATAAAAAAGCTTCGCTGTTTAGGGACAGGATTCAGCCTCATCAGTTTGCCTGGTGGTCAGTCATTAGTCCAGTCAGTCCCAGGTGAGATGAGTATGGATCAAACTTTGGTGTTGGGTCTTGCAGAAAGTTCTGACAGTCACGTAACAGCGTCGGCTGTGATGAATAAGTGAGTGAAGTTTTCTAGAACTATGTATATATATATATATATATATATCGTCACTTTTAACAGACCGAAGTATCGGGAATAGTTGTGGATTTATTAATTGACTATTCGTCATGATGAAATGTGAATCTAGCATTCCTTGGTGGTTAAGACACGTAGTCGTACAGCACCACTTATTTAACAGCCGTTTGAAAATAAACTGTTTCTTGTAATCACAGAACTTGTGATATTTGTTTGTATAGTCATATAGCTACTTATTCTATTATTTTAATTGGTCACAGATTTTCTCAAATTTCTGGGAATGTTGTTGAATCATTCGTATTACATGTATTTGATGTTGATTAGATTAACAAAGATTAAGTAGTCAGTCTTTTCTACGTAAATATATTGAAGTCTTACTGCCACAACCTTGTATCTTCGTGTAGTACGAATGACTCATTGAGTGCATTGCAATTGATTGAGGTTTAAACTAGGTCACTCGCCTTGCTGGGATGTATCATTCTGTATCTAGAAAAGTAAGGTATTCAGATAATAAGAATTTACTGTTTTAGGTTTCAAAATTTTATTGTTTCATTACTAATTCTCTTCTTTGATATTTTGATACTAATTAGTTATTGGTAACTTACTGTATTGAAGTGAATATATTGTTTAGAGAATAGTATATCTCAGCCTGAAGCTACTAACCTATACATGATTGAAAACTGAATATGTTTTCGCTCAATGTTTTGTTTTCTAAATATTTAAATAACGAGTTTTACTACATTTTGTACATTTATTAATTCCAAATTGTAGTTACGTAACGCTTTCACTTACATGGGGATCCTTTTCAATGTAGATATAATTTGAGTAAATAAGGCTTTAGATACATCTTTGCATTTCTATTGTATACAGGATTAAACTGAATCTTCAACATAGAGCTTTTACGCACAGTGCATCAGTTCAAGTTAACGCTCTTCATATAACCACGTATAAAAGTAGACAAAAGAAATGCATTGATACTATAACAGACAAAAGTGTATGGAATTAGTGGTAATTAAATAAAGAATGGGGAGGATTTTCAAAACCTTCTAGAACAAAAGAAGTGAAGACACTTCTAGCCATGTCACTAACAGTCTACAACAGTCGATTCTTAGTATTCTGAGGAGCCCTAGCACGCAGTCTGTGCCTCCTTACTTAGATAAAACCAACTGTCGAGGACTTCATTGATTGGTGTCACCCCTAATTCCTTTTCATTTCAATTTTACATCAGCTAATATTGGTCTGTGTGTGGAAATCATGTCCTAGCCATCTCGATGGAAGCAGCTTTACAATTTTCCTTCAGCACCTTACACTAAGTCTAGCTTCGTAATTACTGACCATATTATACTACCCAACACAAGAAACTGAACTCAGACACTTGCAGTCAAAGGCGATTAGCTTCTTCATATCTTCAACTCTCACTAGTTATGTCTCACAGCCGGAGCTAATTGCTACAGCATACAATTCCTTTGTGGGATTACCAGATATCACTTTGAGTCACTGCTTCAGTGGAGCAGCAGCAGAATGCTCGCCATCCACACCGGTGGTCTAGGATTCGGTCCCTGGCCGACACACTCCTTTGCCTCGCTAGGCCAGTAGTAAGACTGGTAAAGAGGGAAGGTTGGGCATAAGGCTAGCAACCCCATCCTGTAAAAATAAACACCACTGCTACATAATCTTCAAGCCTCTAGCTTGAAGCCCTATGTTCCATTGGGAACGTAAAGGAATACAAGGCAACTCTGACTCAATTTGACAAATAACGAACGAGCAAATCTTAAAGGTTAACATTTAGCAGTCGTTTACTCCCTAGTCTCATTCAAGTGAATGTACAGTAGTTATTATAGGGCAGTCGTCTGAATGAAAATTGTTGATAATGATGACAATTGGAAGTTCAACTTCATCAGTGTCAAATTCTTCGTTATTTTGAGTTAGATCAAGAGCTGATATCAGTTAGCAAACCATTGGAAACCCGGGTGTACTGGACCGATGCCCTAGTCCTAGCAGTACACACCGATGCCCCCACCAGGAATCGAACCCATCGTTTTAAGGTTATGGGAAGGGCCCCTCAACCCTTCATCCACTGGAATAGAATCCAATGCTCTACGGATTCTGATATCTACCAACTCGCTATATGTATTGCCATCACGAGCCAATGTCATGGGCGAGTATTTGTCCTCGCAATCGACTCTCTAAACACGAAAGATACTTATTAAGCATGAGTTACATAAACTCATTTTACATACATCTGTTTTAGAAGCTGCACTTATGAGACATATTACAATGAGTATCAGTGACATATTAAGTACTGTATTTGATCCATTTTGAGAACATTTTATCTGTTTTTCACAACCGAGACGAACTCTTCCTACTTCTGCCTCTCCTTTCTTATTTTGTTACGGTATTTCTAGATTCTTCTTCCAGAAACTTCTCCATTTCAATATCAGTTCTTTTCACTTCAAAAGCGAAGTCGAAATTCATGTCATATATGCACTATTGTAACCAGAACTCACATCAATGATACTAGACCCATGTAATGGAGAATACGTGCTTCTTCACATGCCACCACACTTAGTATTCAATATTTGGTGGTCACAAACTAGACCACGAACTATTATAAATTTTTCCTTTTATGGACTCACTTCACTATATTTTACAGTTGTTATATATGGATTATGAACCAGTTATTTGACGCTGAATAAATCGTATTAGTTAAATCGTAGACACTTTAAATTGTGCTTTGAGTGATTAGAGAGTTTAACGTTTACGCTGCATGATCTAGTTTCATGATGGTCTATTTGTTACTAAAAATATGTTCATCTATTATTCATGATTATTGTAGGTAGTGGTAATTATGAGATAATTTTATGTAACTTTTTATATTGAAGTATCCTTCTATATTCTGGTAGCTGTGGTTAGCAAATTGACGTCCTTTGAAGCAGTGACCTGTACATCAGGTCATGGAATAATCGTGAAATACAAGCACTTCTTGAAATATCAATCACAATAAATAAATAATTGTTAAAAGTAATCACCTTTTCAGAAGATTAGCTAAAAGAGTTACCAGCTCGTGAATTTTATTTTTTTATTTCCTTCACGTTCCCCAGTGGAACATAGGGCCTCAAGCTAGTGGCTTAAAGTTTCTGTAGCAGTGCTTATTTTACAGGATAGGGTTGCTAGCCTCATGCCCAACCTTTCCTCTTCACCAGCGTTATTTCTGGCTTAGTGAGGTAAGGGAGTGCGTCGGCTGGGGATCGAACCCCGGACCATGTGCATAGTCGGCGAGCGTCCTAACCGCTATGCCACCGACGCACAGCTCGTGCATACTATCCTCTTACTGTGTGAATTATTTAACTACCTGTGATTGTAATATAATAATATAGTACACATTTATAATGCACCATTTGAATATCCTTGTAATGATGTCTCAGGAAGAATAGTCTTTTCAACGTTAATGTTACTCTTTGTTTTATTGTTTTAGATATGACTGGACCAAGGATCGTGCAGATGCTGCTTTCCATCATTTAGTGCAAGAAGGCATTGCATGGGTGGATGATTTAGATCCTTGCGGTGAGAGAGTATTTTGGTTCCCCAGTTTGATGGATGCAACTATGACATGTTAAGTGTAAATGAAACCTTGTAACTTTTTTTTTATCTCTCTTCCTAATAAAGTAGTATTTCTTTAAATATGTTTTGCTTTTGCAGTATATATCATTTCAATTTATTACGTAAATTTCTCGAGAAATGTCAGCACTTCTATTGATATGATGATGAAGATAATGTTCATTATTTTAAGCTCAGAATAACAAAACACAATGAGGAACTTAACTAACAACTCATGTGTATATTTACTCAATCTTGGAAAATCTGAGGGGGACATGTGTGGTTATCGGACCACGGGTGAAGAAACCACCAAAAGCCGTGTCGCTCAGTACTAACTAGCCACAAATTTAAACATTTTTCAATTAATCTGGCCAACCGCAAAGTCCGTGGAATTCACTGCAATAGCCTCAGCTGGTTATAATTTCATCATCGTGTAAACTCTAGACTTGCACAACAATATTATTATTATTGTATCCTTTAATTCCTAGAGGAACATAGGGCTTCAGCCGTTCGTCTCCATTGCGTTCGGGTCTCTGCTCGAGTCTTCACCTGGCTCCATGTCTGCCCACACGTTTTCATCTCCTCTTCACATGACCTCCTCCAAGTCACCCTTGGACGACCAACTCGCCGCTTCCCTTTCGGGTTCCACTCGAGGGCTTGTCTAGTGATGTCACTTGATGAAATCATAATTAAATTATACCTTGCATACACTACTGGCTAAACCTATAATTCATGAAAAATCCCCATTCGAATATTAATAGAGAGAAAACAGGTAGTTCAGCGAAGAGTCTCCTTTCGGCGGATTCATTTTTACAACTGTACAATCGCAACTATATATGATTATTTTGTATGTGTGTGTACATTAAATTTTTCAAACGAAAATACAATTACTTTGATTGGACACTAGTAATTAGTGTGATGTGTCTAGTCCTTTCTTTGGTGCAGACTGAATTCTAACAGTCAGGTTTGCTATGTGGCCACCATTCCAGGTAGATCGCCATCACGGTGCACGTTGATGTTAGATGGTTGGAGGCAGTCAGCAGCAAGCCTTGGTTTCGTGCTAGTTACAATTAGTAAGTTTTTGGTGGAGTTACGCAATACTAAAACCGTTCAGAGGAATTGGATGTTGATACAAGAGGGTAGTAAAAACAGTGATGAGTTGTCACAAATGATTGTTAAAGAAGAGTAACGTAATGACATGAATAGTTTGGTGAAAGAGGTATTCTCAGGGTGCACAAGGAAACAAAATAAAATACGGAATTACGTAGGAGTTTTAAATGAATACAAGAGTTTTAAGTAGTTGGAAAAAACAAGCAAAAGTTAAGTCAAATCAACAGAGTTGTTACCATGATAGTAGAAGTGTCTGAATAATTTTCTTTTGTATGCATAGTTTTGGTTCTTCTAACTGAATGGCTAGGGCTTCTGTAATGCAATGAAGACGGAAACGTATTGTCTTCGGTAGGTTGTTCTCCTCTTTGCAGATTACTTTGAAGGAGGCGTTTGTTGAGATGGAATGACCAGGGGTGACGAGATGTTCGATTAGTGCACTCCTTATACGACCACTACTTCCTTTCTGTATTCACGCTGGATAGTGTTCTTTAACAGGATGCGCGTCGAACAGACCGATGTACCTGGCTCTACAGCAACAGGTGAACTGATATATACACACAGAAGTGATCAGGTGCGAGATCCTGTTCTTTGAGCTTCTGCAGACCAGCGAGATGACTGAAGAATACTACTCAGAGTCGCCACGAAGAAAGTTCCCCTTAAAGAAGTGGAATTCTCCTCTGGAGGACATCACTGAGTAGGGCACCTTTGAAGTCGAGGTTCATATGAAGTATCTTTTTTTGGTAAGGATGGCGTCTCTTGCTTTTGGATTTTCTGTTTTAATGTTAGAATTATGCAACAGTATTATGTTAGTATTTATATTTCAAATAATTTAGTCAAAATGCAACCTCATTGGTCTAGAAACTCAAAACAAACATTTCAGTGTTTCATTCCATTAAACTCATTAACCAGATAGTTATAAAATTACGAACTATAGTTGTAATAACTGTAAATAGATTTGGATTTGAAACTGTTTCCTAGTATGCTCTAGGGTAGGCAGATTTCCATCGTCCCTTCGAATTGGTCTCACATAGCTAAATGTTCATAGCCCATTCTATGTCAATCCTATTAACTGCCTTCATGGGATTGTGGGTTCACTTGCTACAGTGAAATGGCGAGAACCCTGAGAGTTTATTTAGGGGAGTTGTAATAGCCAGTTCCCAAACACAGTGCACATTGGCTTCAGGTTCCTAATAGCGCACGAACCTGACTTTGTTACCGGCAACCATGGGAATGCAGTTCCTTAAATTGCTCTGTGAATCACAATTTCATTGAAAGAACTGAGAAGTGGTCGTTTAGAAAAATTGCTTTTCATCGGTCTAGGACCCCAAACAGTTTCCCAACACCTACACGAAATATAAAATGATATATTATGGGTTAGTCATATCACCTATGATCATGTAAACTGCTTCATCAACCGTACGTCTCAACGCCGAGTTCATTATAGGTCTGTTGTTTTAATTTATGAACTGTCTTGTATTTGAATCGTCTTTGTGTATTTTAGAATCGATGACCGTTTATTATTACTTAGAAACTTATTCTATTCTATTCACCTTAAATATTCGCACATAAATGCAAATCGGACAATAGACAGGTTTGACGAAAAATTTGGGGTTTAAAATTATTGAAGTAAGTTGACTCACCATCGTTGTTTTTAAAAGTAACTGAATACCAGACTATAGTGAACTAAACTCCCGACGTAGAACTTTTCACACACACAGTCATCACATTCCTGTAGTCACATTTCATAGAAGCACCTAATGTAAATAAAAGAGGTGCAAAGAGCTTCGATCGTAGAATAATTAGATGAGGTATCACAACGACTTTCAAGGTTTTGGGGAACTCAAGAAGTGAATGCATTTGCACCATTGTAAACGACTTTTAGACATATCATCGACAGCTTCCGAAAATCAATTCTTAATATCATGCGGAGGCCTACAATGGTCCCCACAAGGCTCAGACCAACAGTCAAGTACTTCGTAGATGGGTACCATGTTTCGTTCTGACCACTCCTGACTCTTTCCAGCCTAGTTCCCTGCTAGGTAACATTGCTCGACAAGAAGACGATAGGTTGGTACGCGTAACACTAACCATCTCTGTCAGTAATGATTCACAACGTCATCGACTGACTTTCCCTTCTTAACCTACCAGTCTACACTTAACCTGATTATTACTGACCATATTGTGTCACAACATGGGGAATTGAGTGTCGACAATTATGGTCAGTAACAGCTAATACTTTCATGCTTTCATATGTCATATCTAGTAGGCGTAAAAGAGGACGGGGCAAACTGTCACACAGTGAGTGTGTTTTTTAGTGAATGGTCAGATATGCCTGTGATGAAGATGATGCAAGATGCCAAACAAGGGATTTTGATCATTATTGATATTTCGTCAGCAAAAGTTCCATTAGGGTTGATGTGACTTTCATTCCTTGTCCTCTCCTGGCACCTCTTTGCAATCACATACTGTGACAGAACAAATGTCGCCCGAGATTAAAACATATCAGGATTTAGATGTCGGTGGATATGTCTGTGTTACAAAGTCGGTCAAAGGGTGTAGATACAATGAATATACCCGTTCAGGCCTAAAGTCCACCTGGCTTTGTCGCCTTTGTTTTTCAATTGGCACTCCAAGTATCGTGCTCAACATTCCCTCCATCCTTTCTGTGTAGTTCTGTTGTTCTCGGGGATTGTTTGACATGCAATAGGTTTTCCACAATCAATTTCCGTAATGAGACGAAATAGTTGACGGGCATTACCTTTCCTAATGGCCTTTTTGTTTCTTCCCCTTTTGTCGCCCACCACTGTTCAGGGTCGTTCTTGAGACTTTTAAGTATCCTCCGTTTGATAAGTTTCTACTGCTCGTTGTGTTCCGAGTCGTTTGCCATCACTTTCTGTATGGCTGTCAGTTCGGAGAAAGCTGCAGAAGTTTACTGGTATTCATGAGCATCGTTTACAACTGTTTTTATCGCTGACTGGATATGTTACCTGTTGTCTTCAGGATGAGTATTGTTATCATTCTCAAACACTATGGAATGCTGAGGATGTTTTATCTCGGTAGTATTGTGATGTTAGCAGGATATTTCTGCTCTAACCTTTCGTTAAGTAAGAGTGCTCCAGTGTTCACGTACATGCATATTACCTTTCTTTTTGTGAATATGCAATGCGTTTTTCCAAGCATTTTTATCTCACTTCTACTTGATTTAACCTCGCCTAGTTTACTAGCTCCCTAGATTTCTAAGCGGTCTGAAGTCCGGGAAGAGAGGGAAGGCTGACCGTGGGGCTAGCTAAGCTTCCCAGAAAACTAATCAAACTGCTACAGGAACTTCAACTCACAAGAAAAATATTAAAAATGCAAATTATATGAAGAACGGACTTGTTCTTCGCAGGATTTGGAGAGGCGAAGTAAGGCCAGCTGATGAAATCTCTCGCCGAGCCAGTCAGCCGATGTGTCTTCTCTCAATGGAAGCAAGAATAAAAATCGGGACGTGGAATTTACGCACAATTTACGAGGCAGGGAAGGCTGTCCAGGTAGCCAAAGAAACGAGAAGATATGGCATAGAAGTTCTGGGTATCTGCAAGAGCATATGGAATGCATGTGGACCGTCAAAATTGTCAACCGAAAAGTCAGTAATCTACTCCGGTCTGGCCAACAAGACGACAACCACGATCACACTGAGAGAGTAGCTATAATTATGTTGCCAGCTGTAACCAAAGCCCTAATGCAGTGGGAACCAACTTCGTCCTGCAGGATCATGACAGCAAAACTCAACTCAATAGGAAAGAATGTTACAAACAACGCGGAACATGAGACGAAGGAAGATTTTTATCGACAACCACAAGCTGTAATGGACAACATCCCAAATGGAGACATCAAAATCCCTATGGGCGATATGAATGCCAAACTGTGTGCAGACCATACAGAAGAGGAATTCATCATGGGTCAAGAGGCTCTGGCACGGATAAATGCATGAGAACGGAGAATTATTCGCAGACTTCTGTGTTTTCAATGATTTGGTGATCGGAGGCAGCATGTACAAGCACAAAAACATACACATGGCGAGTGACATGGATTTTGCCTGACGGACAAACCACAAACCCGATAAAACTCAATGCTGCTCAAGGAAGTGGGGACGCAGCCTGTTGGACACAATGTCGAGAAGCGGAGCAGATGTGGTCACAGACCACCATCTTGTTCAAGGAACCTTCAAGGTGAAGCTGAAATCCTTCAGAACAACTAGAGACAGGCCAAAATTCAAGTTCAACATTCAGACACCAAAAGATGTAACTACCTAAGATACCTTCATTACAGCCATCACAGCAGATTCAGAGAGATCGAGTGGTATCACTAAGGAAACCTGTGTGCAAAGACATTGGAACTATCTGAAAGTTATTTTCAGGGAGATCTGTACAGCCATTTCACCAAGAGGTAAGACTTGAAATGGCACTCCACACACACCTGTAAGCTAATAGAAGAGATGCAGATAGTGAAACAGAAGATGAACTAATGTACAGGTGGACAACAGAAGCAACAGCTGATACCAATGGACATCGCACTCAATAAAGATGCAACGAAGAGTGTTAGGAAAGATAAAAGACATTTCTGGGACACATTGGAAACTCGAACAGAACGGGCTGCAGGGAGAAGAGACCTCAAAACATTATATCAGATAACCAGGTCTCCATTCCGGAAGAGATCAACACAGATGAAATCTATAAAGTATGGTCAAGAGGAACTAATTTTTAGAGATGAGACAAAGAAAACAATGAGCCGATCGCCTCAAAGGACTCGTGAGTCAGCTATTGTCTGTCAGGCGTCCAGAATTACCACCAACAGCTCGCACAGAACTGACTGTCAGTGGACACGAATCCCACGAAGTCTTAGATGGAGTCAGAGTATTGAGGGCTGGGAAGGCAGCAGGATCGGACGGAATACCTCCTGTAGCACTGAAAACGGATACAGAGGCTGCAGCGGGCACGCTGACACCGCTTTTGCCAAGAATTCGATGGAGAGGAAAGGTACGCGTAGATTGGAAGAATGGTCAACTTGTCATACTACCAAAGGATGGTGACAGTGGTCTATGCAAGAACCGGCGCAGAATCATGTTCTCGTCCACACCAAGCGAAATATTGAGTCGAGTCATTCTGGAGAGAATAGAAGATATATGGGATGCAGAACTCCGCCAGCACGAAACAAGCTGTATTCAGGAAGGGCAAAACATGTGCTGATCAAATTGCAACTCTACGCACCGTCATCACAGAACAAAGCCATAGAATGGCATTCAAACTCCTACATTGACTTCGAAAAGCCCTTCGACAGCGTAGGTCGCTAAGTAATTTGGAAACTGCTTCAGCACTATGGTGTGCAGTGTCCGAATCTCCATCAACCTCATTCAACAGCTACATGACAATGCCACGTGTCAAGTGATCCACAACGGGAAACTTAGCGAAGCCTTTGAAGAGTAAGTCAGGGCTGCCTACTGTCATTGATGCTATTCGTGATTGTGGTGGGTTGGATTATGCGGCAGGCCCTGAAAGGGTGGGGGGCGAGAAGATAGGAATACGTTGGACCGATAAGAAGACTCTAGAAGATCTGGATTACTCAGATGACTTGCAGGCGAAAGTCTACAAACTGACTGAAAAAGCAGCGAAGATGGGATTCTAGAACACAGAGAAGACGAAGGTGATGGGAATGGATTAGGCATACGCTAAGGAGGCCGTCAAGTGACACCCCGCGCAATGCAGGCCATCGCTAGTGTGGGATTTTAACGGGAAACGACGATTGGATCGTCTGATGGTGACACGGAGGAGATCGTGCGAGGAAGAGATTAGAGATTATGGGAAGTCTTGTACCCAGATGGAGGGGACAGGAAAACAGAACAAAGTGGAGATGTTTTGTTGAAGCCCTATGTTTCACTCGTAACCCAAGGGAAACTCTATAATGTGGAGAAAGGGATGATGGTGGATTTGTCTTGTATACCTTAGCGATTATTCGAGTTCTTTCTAGAGACAATAGACAAAAGGACGGGGTAGGAACACTGTTCGATTATTACAGCAGAATTCTCTCTTATCGATTAGTTAACGTCTGGAATTCCTTGAAAGATCACGTGCTATGAGTATGTTAGATGAGTGAATTCAGTAGTAAACATGAACGGCACATAGATAACTACTTGGTATCTTATCACGTACATCAGCGCTTTACATCATTAAGCACGTGCGTTGTGCTAAGCTACACAAAAAGCTTTGAAATTTATCATGCTTCACAAATAAAAAAATAAGAAGAATAGTACTATAGAAATAATTTATTAGAATAAATACAATGTCATTTTACTACCGAGAATACCAAAATTACAGAAAACAAAGAAATAACCAAAGCCACAACGTTCGATAAGCAAAAGGAAAGCCAACGAGTTCAATAATTATACCCAAGATAGTATGAATTTATGAAAGACAAAGGTATAACTACATTTTAATTCATACAATAAAATCTATAAGCAAGGTATTTTATTTTTAAATAACTGAAAATAAACGACTAATAGAAAGCTTAATATTGCACCAAAAGCTGCACCGAATTGAGTTGATAATCCTGCTAACCTGAGTTTCATTGGTCTCTTCGAATGACTAGACAGACTCATCCATATCCATGTACGCAAACTGCTGAATAGACATCGAACTGCTATCCATGCTAATATCTAAAAGAGATGCCACAGAAATAAATAAAACACGCCTGAATTGAGAGTATATTGAGACGGCAGTTAGCTAAACGAGAATTCTAATTTAAATAATACAGTTTTAAAATATTTTCAACGGTGTGTATGACAGCTAGATCATTCGATGTAGTGGCATAAGATGAAGAGCCATAGAAAATTAAAGAGTACAACTTCTAAGTTTAAGGTTTATGCAAAGTAAACGTTTATATACGACAAATTCAAAACATGCAGCAAGAATCGCGTTAGTATACACTACATGAAAAAAAATCAGTCTGTTCGGTTGCCGTGTTATTTGTTCCTAATACTTACAAATTAGCACACGTTTCACACTAAAACTTTGAAATTTCTATTTTAAGACATTCTCTTCATCATTACTACCCTGAACAATTCAAAGAAATAAGAGAATATAGGTGTTTTCTCGACGAATTAACACGCTCATATATATTAGAAGTTTGAATTCACTAAAGCCACCTCAAATCTCAGAGGTCGATAATAATTCCTTATTATTAAAAAAAATACACAAACTTGAAACATTACGAGCACCAAGAGATGCGCCACAGATAATAAATAATAATTAGTGGATTTCAAAAGATATTCTAGGCTGAAATAAACAGTACTTGTCAATAGCATTACATATTTACTTTATTTAGGACTGTATGAAAAGTGTTGCCGGGATGATGTTTATATTAGAAAAGATTGAAAAATAATAATGAGTGGTTAGACTAAAATACAGCATAGGTCTGTACCACGTCGGTAGGTGTAGAATACTCGAACACGATCCCCAGGACGCCAAGATTAAATGATCAGAAACTCTAAATGACAGGATTCAAGATCAATAACATTGACTTAAATGTATTCTGAATATGAAAATCTTCACTATTCTTTATCTAATTACAACCCCATATTTACCAGCGACAGTGACATTAGTTTTGTGTTCTTTTATTTTGTGTGCTTAAGTTACATGTTAATGTAATTCCCGCCTCACTTAGCTTACTGGCCGATGCTAAGCTCCGCAGGAAGGGAGATTGAAAGTGAAACCAGTAATTCTATCCGGTAACAAACAATCCAGTAGCTACTAAAAACTTGAAAGTACTATAAAAATAATCTTATTCTCCGCTGAAATATGGAAAACACACCAACCAGAGGTGAAAGCCCTGGAGAAGCTAACCAAACGATGTTTCCTCTTTCAATGAAAGCAAAAGTGAGCACAGGAGCATGGAATATCCGTACCATTTTTGAGGCTGACTGGCAAGGCTTCCCAGATTTTACAAGAAATGAGAATATGTTGTATAGATGTATCAGGAATCTGTGACGTCTCCAAATTGTTAACTGCAGAGTCAATAATCTACTCCGGTCACACAGAACAAAAACAAGAATACACTACGGGAGTGGTTATCATGATATTGTCACCCGAAGACTCTTGCAGTGAGAACTAATCTCCTCCAGGATTATCACAGCAAGATGCAACTCAAAAGCAAGAGACGTTACACCTACACAATACTACTCAATTACAAAATAACGCAGACCCAATGAGAAAGGAGGACATCGAGAAACAAACAATAATAGACAAAACCCCAGATGACGACATCGGAACTGTAATCGGTGTTATGAATGCCAAACTGGGAGCATATAACATAGGAAGAGAACTCACTATAGGACGAGAGGCTCTCACTTAGTGAAATGAATGAGAATACAGAACACCTTCACTGATTCGGTGATTGGATATAAAGTGTAAAACAACAAAAATTTCTACAAGAGCCATATAAGCTTCACTAGATGGATACACCAAAAGTCATATACACTTCATTTCAATAACAAGAAAGTGGAGCTTCAGCCTACCAGACACAAAATCCATACGATAAGGTTTCGTCTAAATGCAATATCTAGTGCAATATCAAGTTGAAAGCAATTAAAGAAAAACTACAAGTTTAGCACTCAAAAATTGAAAGACGAAGCTACAGCTTTACGGTAGACATAAATAAAAAACTAGGAAGTAGCAGACAAAATCACCGAATAAAACTGCGTCTAAGTACACCCGAACTCACTGAGAGAGATGATGACTGACTGACTGGTTTCAACATAGAACTTTGCACCGATGTGCAGCAGTTCGAGTCGCCACACTCCATGTAGCACATCAATCGAAAGAAGAAAGTAAAAACAAATGCAAAATTGAGACAGTAAACAGAGATATGTGGCAAAAAGAATAGTAATATCGAAGAACAATATAGTTTTATTGGGTATTATAAGTCACAAGGAGTGGATGCATCTGCGCTAGCCATTGACAACGATTTTGAGCCATATCACCGATTGTCTCCAGCCATTGGTTTTTACCATCCCGAAGACCCCAACCAGCAAATCTACAACTTCCTACGTGGCTTAAGCTAACTTTTGTGGATTTCATTGACTGATGTCAAGTTTTAGTTTGACCACTAGTGGCTCTTCTCCAACCTGCCTGGTTCTCTCGTGTTCGTTCCTCCCGTGAACCGCTCAGTCTACACATTATTATTGAGCCCAGAATTTTAGATACCTACCATATTAGTCAAGCTAATCCCCTGTGATTATCACAGGGACTTCCTCTGATTCCCAGACGATGCCTAATTTCTTAGTTAACGCAGACAGTGAACTGTCTCCACCATCCTTAAACACCTCTAAATTCATTTCATCGGGGTCCTTGGAAGGAATGAGAGGCAAAAAAAGAAATTACGTGCTGCAGACATCTGAATGCTAAAAGAGAAGGATGGAGAAGTAGAAGATAATGGAGTGCATAGATGAATAACAAAATTAGAAGCTGAGTTTGATCTACAGTACACTATACAAAGGAGTGACGAAGAGTGTTAGGACAGACGAAAGACACTTTTAAGACACACTGGCTACTGAAGCAGAACGGGTAGTGAATAAGCGAGACCTAACAGCACTATATTCTATAACGAGGTGGCTATATGGGAAGAGATCGATGCAAATGAACTCCATGAGATAATGAAGAGCAGCCAATTAGCAAAGAAGTAGGACTGTGTTGATCACTCTTGAATCGACTTCCACCTACAACTCGTTCAGAAATACCACTAGGAGACAAAGAACTGACAGTGAACACCAGTTCATAGGAAAAGGTAGAAGTTCTGAACGCTATTAATTTACCGAATGAGGGAAAAGTAGGTGGACTACAAACATTTTCTTAAGCAGCATTGAAAACGGACCTATAAATCACAGCAGATACGCTCACGCCGATATTGAAGGAAGTTTTAAAGGAAGAAAAGGTACCTGCAGACCGCAAGAAGGGCTAATTTATCAAACTCCTAAAGAAGAACGACTTAATCTTTTGCAAAAATTGGTGCGAAATCATGCTACTTTCCACGAACAACAGTTAGCACAACGAATAAGATCCGAATTTTCCGAACTAATGTGAAGCCAGTACTTCTATATGGTCCAGACAATGGGCATACTCGACAGAGGAAACATTCTCAACAGGCAGCTGAAGAGTTTCATCAACAGATTTCTTTGCTACCTCGATACCAAAGATCAGATAACCGGGCAGAAATGATGAACAACAGGGAACTCTCGCAACGAACCAACCGAAAACCTATTAACCAACAAATAGGCAGAATGAAGTGAAGACGGATGTGAAATGCTCTGAGATAACTAAGACACATCTTACGCCTTGCCCACGAGATGTCCTGCTAAATCCCTATACTACATTCGGAACGCAAGGAACGAAGAATAAGTAATAATATAAGGTAATTCCACTTTGTGAAAAATAGTCTCAAAACAATAACCAGAAAACTATCTTACACTTGAGTAACGACCTGAATCTTTCGGTCAAGTTTTCGAGATAATCACAGAGTCAAGTAATACGACAGTGCAGTGAACAATAATTTGATGGAGCAAGTATTTCGCCTTCGTATCTCTGTCTCAAGTCAGACATTCACTTCATTTAATTCGGCTTAGGCGACCCGATAATACCACACGGCCAAGTATGACCCATATATAACCTGATGACACTGACCTATGATGGCTATGAGGAATCATGCATGAAGCAGGACTTCATGCACATATATTGCGCACTGTCACCAACTGAGTGCCAAAATATTTCATTTTCCAATTAAGTCCAACTAGTTCTAGTGAAGAAGTCTTACCTTAAACCGGAAAACCTTTGAAATGATATCGTTTGGTTTCCCTACCATAATCCAAATCATATTCAGTGCACAACTCCTTACAGGACACTCGTAAGGCTTGTAGTTAAAATATGTTAAAACTAACAAAATTTATCTGAAGAATTATTAGCACATCAAAAATTAAACTTACCGCGCTTGCTGAGCCGAAACCGCCTAATAAAGGTGGATTAGGACTGGAGCTAGCCAAATAAATCACATAGGCTGCAGGCAATGAAGAAACAAACGCAATACCAATCCATTTCCTGTGAAGTGAACGTATATATGATACATTCGAGATTACCACCATCCCATTATGGAAATTCACATCGTTCTCTTCGTGTTTTGTATAATCTCCGTCATACGCAGGGTCCGAGTTTGACTGATACTTTAAAAGTGTAGACAAATTTGCGCGTTTAGAATAATGATTCACTAGGAATGTGGTCAATACTGTGAATATAGCAGAAAATGAACCCGATAAAGTAACTGCCAAATGATATGTAAGCGCACTATACGCTGCGCAAGAATACGATTGTATAGCTGGTAAAAATCCGAAACTTAATGCACTGATATAACCAATAAGTAGGCATGACAAAAAGGTACTTGGTCCAGAATTGTCTGTGACATCAACACCATTGTAAAACTGCGTAGATCCATCACCACAACTAGATATCACGACACCATCTACAATAAATTTGAAAAAATTATATATATATATATATATATATATATATATATATATATATACGGTAATGAGTTGCAATTAACTACTAAAACACCCCAACCTTTCTAAGTTTAATAAATGCCTGCTAAAAGCCGTTTGAAAAAGAACTTGATATGATATTCAAAAGTGATCATTAAAATGAAGAAACTGAGGAGGTCGTCAAATAAAAATGACTGAATTTCAAAACGTAAATAAATCACTTATTAAAACTGTAGAGAAGTTGGTTTTCTTCACAGTTAACTGTGTCGTGATTCCACATCAACTAGACAAAACTGAAGACCACGAAGCCAGTGGACACATTTGCCTGTCAAGTTTGAGACATGAGAACAGAACCACCAAAATTTGACCTAGTAAATGAATATTGAATGGATCACCAATTACACGGTTTTTTAAAACATTATTAAGTAAGTGAATTAGTATTATTAGTCTTAGAATAAGTGTTATCAAACATTAAAAGTGTGATAATGATAACAATAAAGACAGCGGAGACGAAGTGAAGTGGAATATTAAACTGTCCGCAAGACGACTGGGATTTTAAAGTTTGATACTGAAAAAGGTTTTCGTTGCACACTGTTTCTGAATACCAAATTACAATGGAATACCTATCCAATAATTACAGGTCCCCAATGTGTTTTCGAGTTGATGACAGTTTGCAAGGAAGTTCACCATGAAAATTGAAACAGATAGTGAAGTGAACACAAACACTTATGGTCGAATATGAGTGAGCAGTTTGTCATATCTTTCACTATCAATGACCAAATTTCACAGCCGTGGAGGACGATTAGAACCGCTGCACAGTAAACATAAGAATTGGGATAGATTTAGAATGATAAATCCCACTAGGTTAAATGACTCAGTCATTGCTACGCGTACACCGGCATGCAATTACACAATAAAATGTGACGGAAAGCAGTGAACAGCAATACAGTTAAATACTGTTAGAGATAGTCCACTGATTCTTTGTTGATCGAACCAACACACATAGTAGAAATGACGCATTCTTTTAAAAACCGGAGGAAGTAAAACTACATACAGCAACTTATAAAGTTGTCTGAATACACTTATACGATAATGAACAATAAATGGTTTCCGAAACACCATTAAGTTATTATTACTATATTACGGTGTTATAAACTCATCTAATAGAGAATTATATTCAGTCAATCTTACATTAATGAAGTTTCAAATGCAAAAAACCACAGTGTTCAAGTCTGAGTGATCACAAATTGGCATACACAGAAATTAAGTGTCTAGAGAAGTACAAAAACTACGCTCACCACAGTGAGGGACCGCAAGTGAAAAAATGGAACAAACCAAATGGTGCGCATCATTTGGATTTTGACTTCAAAAGGATATTATTCCCATGTACACTTTATTTGATAATTCTTTTGACTGAATGGCTTTCTTCTATCGGTTGATAAGCTGGATCTATATAATTGAGGAGTATTTGACTTGCACATATCTTACAACATGCATCTGTGGCACAGCGGTAGAATGCTCACCAAACATATAGGTGGTTCGGGGTTCGATCCCCGGCTAACGCACTTTTATACCTCGCTAAGCCAGCAATAAGACCAGTAAAGCGGAAAGATCAGGCATGAGGCTAGCAAACCCATTCCGTAAAAATAAAACACCACTGCTACCGAAACTTTAAAGCTCTAGCTTGCAACCCTATGTTTCACTGGGAACGTAAAGGAATAAAATAATAAATAATATCCTCTGATATTGTTTGTATGTTCACTATCCAAGATGCTTAAGTTTTAGAAATTGGATTCATCCTCACAGGTGTTTACATATATTGATATCTAGGGAGTGATCGATTTTAACACTTAATCACTAAGATGTAACTACGCTTACAAGAACAGAACAACTGTATTTATTGTAATGTTATGTTTTCACTGTTTTACAAGCTAATTTCGAAAAAAAACATATTTGGCTGTCGAGCAGGAGCTCATAGACACTAGTCAGAGTCTGGTGAAGCGAGTACATAATTTGACGATGATTGTTCGCTAGGCCAGAATGATTAGGATCTCTATGTCGAAATTTATCACACTAACATCCAGAACGTAAATTTCTTATACCTAATTATAGTTCGCTCAATGAATATTTTTTGGTATATGAGCCACATGTGTTGTTTTCCTTGTGAAATTCTTCTCTTGCTGAGACTGAATTCATAGCGAAATCCTTTCTGTCTACTCTCAGAGAGCACAATCTTATAGTTCGTTTAAAAAATAACATTACGGAGACCGTATTACTACTACTGTGTTTACTAGGACCGACTTTTGTTCGCATGCTTATTAACGCCAGATTTACGGTAAAAACAAAGTATAGGTTCTATCCAGAAAAGACTTGATCTCTTTGATATATGCATTTCGAAATCTACTGATTTATAGTGAAATAGAGGTCAAAGATACAGTACTAGACCGAAAAGATTAAAGAAATTTTGAGATTTTATGGACTAATGTGGCTAGAAAGACTCATCACTCAAGTTTAACCGCATAAAGACTACGAGAAATGGAGAAAAAAAATACTAGGTACTGGTACCTTGAAAATATATTAGTTCATATATATAAACATTAATCAGCACCTGATATTAAATGGGAACTACAAAACAAAACACAAATGTTAGATGTACTTTCAACATATCATTGTCAGAAACAAAAGAAATGTTGCTCTTTATTTTTCGTCACGGATACCGATACTAACATAGACAACTTGTAAGTACGATAAGTATTTAGAAAAATCGATTATCGTCAGAAGAAATTCACATAAAAAATCTGAATCAGGAATTTGAACATCAAGTTTCTGTAAATGTAAAATAAGAATAAGATGTTTATCAAGTTGGAGTTTGACAATTACAATGAAGAGTGAAATATAAGTGTTTGGTGTTTATGTCAAGGTTACAATTGTGAGATAAGTGAAACTCCTTTGATACAGTGAATAATTTCCAGCTTCGTATGGAAAGTGAATGAAAAATAACAACACATGAAAACATAAATGGATAACCAAATTATAAAAAATAAGGAAAGGTAATTTGAGAAGCCAGTAAATCTTTTAAAAGTTACCAGGACGATAAGAAGGTTAATGAACGACTGCTCCATAACAGATTCCTCCTAAACCTCCATTGGTATTCACAAATCTATTTAGAAACGTATCGGCTACAGTTATTTTCAGCTGATAAACATTATGGACTGGTATGCTAACTTAATCATACTACCACTACTAAAGCCGCTTCTACTGATGTACTTGATAGTACATCCACGGATGAAATAATAAATACAGTTGCAATAATGGCAGTCTGTTTCTTTAAGGCGCCCCAATGGAGCTGTAAAAACCTTTCTATCAAATTTCTTTACGTCTCCTGTGAATTAAACTGAATTCATTTCGTCCTGAAAATTTTGTTTTTGATGCAGTCAACCAAATGTAACTGAAAATTCTTATAAAACACTATTTTCAAGTGTTTGCATACAGGAATTTGATTGACTTCAAGTTTGACCATGGACTGACTTTGGTTAGAGAACCAATGAAAATCAGGGAGTATCGAGAAAGTTGTTTCTCCATAGTTTAGGATCCTCTTATCAGTACGTAGCCAGGACCTACATGTTTCGAGACCAGCACGCGGACTTTTCAGCCAACAGGAAGAAATCCAATGAAAAAGCATGACTTCATGCGCTATCAGATTATGTCACATTGGCTTAATGATAAACGAACTCACCCCATAACCAACAGGGTTTGACATCGATGGGATCATGTTTGCATATTGAACTAGGACTAAGTCCGGATCCCAATGCTCCCTGGTTTTCAATGGTTCTCTAACTGGAGTAAGTTAGCAATAGAACTTGAAATAAAACTCATTTCACAAAATTTATTTATTCATTTTCAAATGCTTTGATGCGTTTACAGTATATTTCCACCCATTAATTCGTTTTACAACTCAAACTACTAGATTTGCAGGTGGAATTTAACAATGGCTACATTTCTTGATTAAAAAGTTACGTTAACTATACACATATGACTGTTAATTAAATTACATAACTTACCACTTTCAGTGTTCTCAGTGATTCTTTCATTTTTATCCAAATGTGAGTTTTCCTTATCACTGGAAGTTACTTTGACATGATTTCTTTTATAATGCTCATGAACAGCTTTCCCCAAACCAAACGGTGAACAGTCCAATAATAGGAAGGCAATTAATGAGAAAACCAATACTGTACATAAAAGATAAATAAATGTACTAATTGAAAAACGCGGTGGTGGGAAAAATGCCACTGTGTGAAATGTTCCATTAACTGAAAGAAGAAAGTTATCAGAGAAAAGAATACATAAATAAAGTCAAATTATTTACTATAAAATTTTAAAGTGATATCTTACAAATGAATATAGATGATCCTTACCATTAACAGTTAGTTAGGTTACGTGAATAAAATGACAATAACTATCACTCACGTTCCAATCAACGATCGAAGTTTACCTACTTTGAAATAAAATGAAAATAAACTGCATTACTGGATTACCCCGACCGATAGCTACTACCTTGACGTGGTGGTCGGGCTTGCATATCGCAATGACCCAACAAGCTACACTGGCTGGAACCATTGTTCATGCAGGTCCTACCATGCCAGGAACGTTGTTAGGATACCGATTAGACTAAAAGCAGTTACCAGCATAGTGTAAGAATTTTTTTACAGTGTCTGGGAATCAGAGGAAGTCCTGTTGGGTGAGACAAATCTTCCTGTGGTAATCACAGGGGGATTAGCTTGACTAACATAGTATCTAAAGTTCCAGGCTCAGTAAAAAGGAGTCGGCTAAGTAGTGCTCGGGAGGCACAAACACGAGAGAACCACGCAGGTTTTAGACCAGGAAGAGGGTGTATTGATCATATCTTCACCCTTTGACAGATTCTGGAACATAGACATACTTACCGGAGTCCAACAGCAGTCATTTTTTGATCTGAAAGCGGAATTCGATTCCGTCAACCGAGAGGTACCATGGCAATGTTTGTCTGTGAAGGGAATGTCGAGAAAATACATTGCAATCATCAAGGCAGTCTACTAGAACTCATGCAGTCAGGCGGGTGAGAGCCCACGGACAACTAGTGGCGTTCGTCAGGGATGCCCACTATCCCCATTTCTGTCTAATTCCATCATAAGTGTACTACTAATGGACTTAACCCTAACTGACTTCAGAGACTCAAGGATGGACTTGTTACCAGGGAATATGCAGATGATATAGTCCTTCTAGGTGAAGACGCTGACAAAAAGCAGTCTTCTGAACACCTTTAGCAACAATCTGCATATGTTTGGCACGCAATTCGCTACCGCGAAATGTGAGATGATGCTACGGGATTGGACTGAACTACATGGACTCCTAGCTTAGAGATAGGGAGGAGTGAAGAGGGAAAGTGCGTTGACCGCTTCACTTATTTGGGAAGTTGCATCAACCCCAACGGGTTGATCGCTGACGGATACAGAAAGCTCATTTCGCGTATGCCAGTTTACGCCATCTCTGGTGTAGACGTGATAACTGGCTGGCTAGCGCCCCGTTTTCCTCTATGGCTATGAGCGAGATATGGCCATTGAGAGTGGAGGCCATGAAAACGCTAGCTGTCTTTGATCATAGGTACCTGCGTTCTATCTCGTGTGTAAAGTGGTATAATTAGGATGAGCAATATTGAGGTTAGGCTTCAGTGGAGTGCTAGGTAAGGAGGGGAAGTCAATCGATGTGGCTGTGAAGGCACATTGGCTGAGATGGTTAGGACATGCGTTACACATGCCTAGCCATTGCCTTCTTTAACGGGCAATGTTAGCTGACAGAGGGTCAGGTTGGAGTAGAGCCACTAGTGGTCAAACTAAAACTTGACATCAGTCAATGAAATCCAAAAAAGTTAGCTTAAGCCACGTAGGAAGTTGTAGACTTGCTGGTTGGGGTCTTCGGGATGGTAAAAACCAATGGCTGGAGACAATCGGTGATATGGCTCAAAATCGTTGTCAATGGCTAGCGCAGATGCATCCACTCCTTGTGACTTATAATACCCAATAAAACTATATTGTTCTTCGATATTACTATTCTTTTTGCCTCATATCTCTGTTTACTGTCTCTATTTTGCATTTGTTTTTACTTTCTTCTTTTGCTTGATGTGCTACATGGAGTGTGGCGACTCGAACTGCTGCACATCGGTGCAAAGTTCTATGTTGAAACCAGTCAGTCAGTCTCCCAGTTTCAAACCTCTCAGGAGAAATGAGTTTCCTCTATATTCCCAATTATTACTTGTTGGTTCGTGGTAAAAAGCATGAGACCGAGTACAGTTGCGCATAGAAGAACATTTATTACAGAGGTATAATAATAGACCATTTGGTGTTTAGAAGTAATTGGTGAAAATAACAGTCCACTTAGGACATTTGTGACTCTAGGTAAACTGTTGGGATAAATGGCACAAATACAGCATGATATCAGTTTTGACTCTACAAACAAGCTTACTGATGAGCGCTAATCGGTAAAAAAAAAAGAAAATTCGGCATTCTGATCACTGTCGAATATTAAGCTTTTACACTCTCATTTTTTTGTTTGGATAGCAGTACCCAATTTTTCGCAATCCTGTCTACTGCTGTTTCGTTTAACGCTCGCTGATTTGCACCAGCTTTGTATTCAAATTAAGATCAGGAACAAGCACATTATACACATGAAGAGTATGCGATCGTTATACGTATTCAGCCATATAATAAGTGTGTCTTTTACGCCAGTGCCCGGTAACTGAGAGCTAGCTAGCATCTAACCAGGTGTATGCCAGAAGTATTGCTTGAGTCAAGTCAGAGGTGTTGAGATTACACATAAAGTTCAAGGCGGATATGATACACCAATAGATGAATTTGCAGAACACTGACTGAAACTGTCGGCACACATATTATGCAGTCTAGTTCGATATTTACTTTTACTAAATTCAAAGTACACTAGATACACTCTGAAGATCAGTGGAGGAAATATAAGATAGAACTATCGAGTTCTTGGCTTTGAATCTGACCCAATTATAAAAACGTAGGTACCTTGAATTCATTGTATGTTAGGAAACAGAGCGGAGGACCTTAAATGAAATATTGTAGAACTAATTACTGCGGTATTATTTTATTTTTCGCGTTCTCAGTGGAAAATACGGTTTCAACCTTCTGAATTTTTAGTAGCACTGAGACTATCTCTTTAACGGGGTGGAGGTTGCTAGCTTCAGCCCCAACCTACGCTCCCTTTTCTGCTATTACTATAGACTAGAGGAGTGCATCGATCGGAAATCGAACCTGCACTTCCCACGTGGCTGGCAGGCACTCTGCCAGTGAATCACTGACGCACACTACAGTGGTATAGATGTGTATTGTGGTCTGCTTCAAACCTTGGATACATTATTCTTTTTTTATGAAATGTACATGTCTCCACCTCAGTATCCTTTCATTCTATACTTATGTGATGTTTGATCAAACTGACCAATGCAATATATACTTGGTTACGATTTTTAATGACTGGACTATTCAAATAAACTGGAATAAATGTTTCCTAAGTCTAGTTCACTAATGATTCTGTGTTTCCATGGCTATGATACATTTTTTATGCCGTGAACCTTTTATATGAGGACATAAAAAATAACAAAACAGAAAGATGATTATGAGAAAACTCACTCAAAATATATTGAATTAGAATAAATAATACATTTACTTAACTAAAAAAGCAGATAAATGCATAATATTATCCATACTTTCAACCGATTATGAACAGACAAACTGTTTCTTTTATTCTTTCTATATGGCTTATTTATATTTGCCTAGGTTTAAAACAGTTCAATAGCTTGCATGTGGATAACATTATTATATATATATATATATATATATATATATATATATATATATATATATATGCATATATATACCTTCGAACTGAATCGCGCTTGCTTAAGAAAATTATTGATTATGTAAAAGGTTGTCTTAATCCAAAATGATCACGCGTGCAGATATATGATGAGCAGGTACAAAAGTTAGGCCAAACTATTCAAAATAATAGAAATAAATACTTTGTTAACATTAGCTAGTTTAAGAAACCATTGATTTTGAGGTTACTTGAAACCTGAAAAGGTTAACTTTTTAATATAATTTTCAGAATTATATGGGACAGACGTTTTTCTAGCTGTTCTGTTAGTTACTCTATGCTTTCTTAAAGAGATGACTCGATTCTGGAAGATATACGTTTCATAAATGATATTCCGCATACACCGATAACTTCGGTGCGTCAGTAGCTCATCGGTAGAACGTTTTCCAGTCACACGGGAGGACCAGGTTCGATCGCCGTCCGACGCACTCCAAAACCTCATGCAGTTTACTAACAAGTAGTAATGCAGGGAAAGAGTGAAGGTTGGTCTAAGAACTCTACCTCGTAAAACTAACACTACCGTAGTGAAATTTTAAAGCGTCAATACCTATGTTCCATGTGAAACAGTGATGATGCAAAAGTAACAATACACCGATAAGAAAATTAAAAGTTATTATTAAAAAAACCATTTAGATGTTTAGAAAGCAAAAGGATCGGGCGAAGAAATACTTACTTTTCAATTAGATCCTCATCTCTGACTCTAATATATATATATATATATATGTCATTTTTATTACGATATACAACAATTTACCTATAGAGTGGCGATATCTTTGTTAACAATAATCAGTCAGTATCAGCATGTCAAGGGGGTGATAATTAATGAAGAAAATTAATACACACAATTAAAGGGTAGAAATGTTTACAACAATCGGATTTAAAGCAATTGGTTCCCATTATGAATTTCGACAACACAATAAGAAGAACTGAAAACATTTATTTCCCAATACGAATTTAAAACAAGCAACAAAGGTTGATAAAGCAGGATTTAATGAATTCATCAATTTTCGGTAGAACTCGTCAGAAGACGTGGTTTATCTGAAACGTGTTATATGTTTGCGCAACACTTTTCGGATATTCTGATCACACACATACTTGTCATACGCAGGTATACAGACAGCATGAATTATTACAATACAGGCCAGGTTGTGTACAGGTCAGGGTCACAAATAATGGGTAGGGAGATGACACAAAGGTGTGGGTGAGAAAGAAAGAAAAAACAGAGACAGGGTTGAAAATACTATGGAAGTAAATTGAACCTTGGTTCTAAGTCGGACTACGAAGGCGGATTTAAAGAAATAAAAAATAAATTTTGGACACATAGGATAGGTTTACGCCTATGGCAAAGGATTCAACGAGTTTAAGTATGTGATCCAGCCTTGTTTTTATATATGGGCTTAAAGGCATTGTTAAAATCAATCTTATGATCCGTCTTTGTGATGTGCTTCGGTATAGATGATGTTGGACATCAGTTGTATCCCACGATCTTATATCTTGTTGCAGCCACTTTGTGATATGTTCTGTAGTCCTAACATGTAGAGATCGCTGGTTCCTAAGTACGTGTGTCCACGCATACATATATATTGATAAACACAATGGGATGTGACACTATCTTTCGGATGCTGTGAGGGTTTACAGGACAGCATAGATCTCGTTTTCTCTATGAAGATAAATTTAGCTGCATAGTAAGTTCTATTAACTGCCATCTTCAGTCTTTGTTGATCGCCCCTGAACAGCGAAGATACATAAACGTCCTTTTCGGGAGCTAATCGGATGGGCAGAGCTCTTCGGTTCACACTTCCGTAACGCTTAATGGATATCAGCAGGTAATTGTTATCTAACAATATTCAGTGAGGTGTTGTGCTTCTTCAATTGTGTCGGCTGTACATATACGGTGATTGCGTTTGAACAAACACTTAACCAACGCTTTTTTATATGATTAGAAATCCTCAACCAGATCAGTACCGTACAAAACAGCATATCGCTTTCATATGTTAAAGAGAATAATGATTTTCAAGTGTTGGTTTGTAGGAATTTGATTGGTTACAGGATTTCATCATGAGCTGACATCCGTTACAGAACCATTGGAAAACCTGGGAGTACTGGACAGCTGTTTTATCCTAGTTTGGGACTCTTCGTCAGTACGCATCCACCGGGGTTCGAACCCAGGACCTGCTGATTACAAGGCAAGCTCGTATGCAATTAAGCCACTGGAACCCGATCCAATGGCCCATGAATTCTAACTTCTGCCAATTCACGACAGAGAGCGACCCCTAGAATAATGATTGCTTGCCATTTTTAGAGGCACTCATAACCCGCCGACAAGATGGGTGGTCAGTAAAACGACCTGTCTACAGAAAGTCCACATGGATGCGACAGTATCTAATTTATATTTTCTGTCCACTACAGTATAAAACGGAACTGGTTAAGTATTTGTTCGAACACATTCAATTGCATTTTATATCGCATAATTTTGGAAAAATGAATAGTAATTAAGCCGTCTGGTCCCACCATCTCTCGTTTATATGATCATCATAAGGAGCATATAGATGGTGTCCCTCTGCGACTTATATTAGAAATGCTGAACTCCCCCTATCATCCTACAGCTAAACGGTTCACTGAAATCTTTGAACCAGTAGGATCAAATCTATGTAAACATAGTCTTTCGGACACTTTTGACTTAATTAGTTGTCTGTCTGTATGTTTTCGACATAGAACTTTGCACATATGTGCGGCAGTTCAAGTCGCCACACTCCATGTAGCACACAAAGCAAGAGAAGAAAGTAGGAGAAATGCATAATATAGACAGTAAACAGAGATGTGAGACAAATGTATAGTAATAACGAAGAACAAAACAGTTTCATTGGAAATCATAAGTCACAAGGAGTGGATGCATCTGCGCCATTGAGAAAGATTTTCAGCCATATCACCAATTGTTTCCAACCATTGGTTTTTACCGTCCCGAGGAACCCAACCAGGAAGTCTACACCTTCCTACGTGGCTTAGACTAACTGTTGTAGATTTCATTGACTGGTGCCATGTTAGTTGCATTGATTGAATTAATTTGATCGTTAAGCATATGAAAACACTGGATGTTTGGTCTTTATTTACAAATGTACTGTTAGTAGAAACTACTTGTTATCTATGTGATTACATCAACCTAAAATGCATAAACATTGGAGTGCCAGCTATCTGAAGCAGCTTTTTATTGAGAAGCACGGTTGATGTGCAGTTTAGATTTAACGACGTCATTTATAATCAAATGAATGAAGTTGCCATGGGGTCTCCATTACGACCTCTCCTAGTGGATGTTTTCATGGCGAGCTTACAGAATGTTCCACTGAAAGAAACAATCTCGAATTTGCATATGTATAAGCGATATATTGACGGTACGTTCATTAGTTGTGATGACAGTTGGTAGTGAAGAGACAAACACCCCTATTTTACATTTGTGAAATAAGGACAAACTACCTAAGTTCGTCTCCTCTATATGTATCTACCAATTTGATTGCAGCTGCGGAGCCAGCTACATTGGGTGTACAAGTAGGCAGGTTTATCATCGTATTTTCGAACAGCATCTGGCATGGTTAGGCAAGGGACAAACAAGATCTATTCGCAAATCTGTTTTAGCAGACCTTGTAGACAGCGAGCATAGAGTTAGTGTTAATACAGCATTTAAAGTCATTTATCGCATTCCTACTAATCTTTATTTTACTTTACTAATTCGTCTTTTACGTGTAGCAGAAGCCAACTGAAGGAGCCACGGTTGTGTGTTCAGAAGAAATTCGTGAGGCCACTTTCCATACCTCGGTTACTGTTACATGAATGTATAGGCCGGACTACTTTGCCCTCTCCCTAAACATTTTAAAAATTATAATTGCCCAGATTACTTTATTCTTATGGCTAATTCATCTCTAATTACAAGTTATCATTGTCTAAATCGTGCATCGGTGGTTCAGCGGCCAACCACGCCACACGTGGTTTGAGGTTCGATTTCCCGCCGATGCACTCCTTTAACTCGCTGAGCCGGTAGTACAGCAGGCAAAGAGGGAAGGTTAAGCGTGAGTCCAGCAACGTCGCCCGGTAAAAATTAACATTACAGCTATCGAAACTTCGAAGCTCTAGCTTGAAGCCCTATTACCCACTAGGAATGTAAAAGAACAAAATATAAAAAATATGCAAATATATTGTCCAAATAGTCTTATTTTTCTTTAATTGTCTGCTACGTAGTCAACTTCAACACTCGCTTATTCCTTAATTATCACCCCCGTAACATGTTGATACTGATTGATTATTGTTAACAAAATTATCACCACTTGATTGGTAAGTTGTTGTGTATTGTAATAAAAATGTTATATCTTTAGAGTATAGTCAGAGATGAGGATCTAATCCTTTTGTTTTCTAAGAGTTATCAATCAAAAGTTTATGTAAATATTTTAAACAAATTGTGAAAAATCAAATTTATATAAAAACTTGGATCCACGTGAAATAAAACCTTAGTTAGTTAAAATGATATATAAATAACAAATCGCACCTGTTGCATTAATGCATTCTGGTTCTGGGCCAACGCCTTGAATAAGTGCTAGTACACTTGGGACCAAATCACTGAATGCCTCACCAAAGTGTAACGCACCCACATATAATTGAGGCATTCCATTTAGATATGTAATATATGTAACAGATGATGTACAATCAACTATTGACGCTAACAGAGATAAAATAAACAAGCCAATACTGTGATAACCAGTGCCTAAGGATGGTATATGAATCACTTCCTATAACAAAGAAATAGAATATAAACAACAAATGAATTTGCTAAATAATATAAAAGAAAGTCCAATATATGGTCACTCAATGATAAACCGGAAACTACTTCAACGATTTTCCAGGAATCCTTCTAAAATGAATTATTCAATGACGTAAGGAAGTTAAGTTAATCGATGACGTCGTGGAAATACATCGATCGACAAGACTAGGAAACGTATTTATCTTACCGAGTCACTATATTCCTCGTCGAGCAGTGTAGCCTGACATTGAATTAGCTTGGGAAAGAATTGAGGGTGGTCGAATCAAAACCAGGTTTCACTCTATTAAGCATGTGACAGTTGTTTTGAGCCTACTAGGAGAGGGTCCTCAAAACACTAAGAATCAACGGCTTTAAACTTCATAATACGGAACAAAACCGTTCTCAACTATGCAGATGCATCCACTAGATAAAAATATCCTGGATCTAATAAGTCTTCATGCTTTCTCCATGTAATAATTCTTCCTTCATACATTTCTGCTCATTATGGTTCTTTTGAATTGTTTTCTGTTCTCTTTACTTTCGTATGCTACACAGAGTACAAAGACTTGAATTGCTGGACTTTTGTGCGAAGTTTTATGCTGAAACACAGTCACAGGTACAGATTCCACGAACACGGCTAATTAATTACACACATTGTGTGCAAACAACCAATGAAATATAATTGTAATTAGTATTGATCAATAGTAGTGAACGTCGACCTCAAAGCAAAACAGAAAAATAAGTATGGAATTTTTTAAACAACCAGCCGTCAACTGTAACTGTAAGATTAGTAGCGCTATTTCCAGACCCAAAATTCTGCAAAAAGCCATCAAATGTCCAGAATCTTAAATCTCAGGTCCAGTTTGAAAACCTAATAAATCAAACATATCAACCAATACCAAAATCTGGACAGCGCCTACAACAATCCAAATCGATAGTCCTTAAAAACTGTTGCAAGTTTATAAATACCAAAGCAAACGATCAGTTTATACTGACGAAACAACATTAAAAGAGCTTAGGAAGTTACTGAACGATGAGGATATCATGCAGATATACCATTATAAAGGTAGGGGTGCCGCACTCATGAATCGCGAGGAGTATATCAGCAAAATGCTAATCATCCTATAAGATGAATCCAAATTTACAAAACCGATCAATGAAAAGAATATCACAGAGCAGACCGAACAGAAACTAACAGACATCTTCCAAAAACTGAATCGTTCATAGACGGTGAAATGTCTGAATCCCTGAGACCATCTGGATCATATATACTCCAACTGTATGGATTGCAAAAGCAGACAAGAAAGGCATACCTCTTCGACTTGTTCTCGAAATGACGAATTCCCTTTATCGTCGCCATTGTCCACTGGTTAGTAGACCTACTGGAAACAGTCAGAAGGTGAGTTTCCTGCTACTCACTTCAACATCCTTTTGAGTTTGTCAATTCCATTGAAAACATCAACGTTTCTAATCATACTCTCATCAGATGTAGTCTCATCGTTTACGAACGTCTCATTATCCAAAACAATATGACTCGAAGCGATTAAATATTGAAATTTGAGCAAAGAAATAACAAATACCGGTGAAGAATAACATGGTTCCACTTTATTTCTTTGGTTCTTATCAGCTGCATACAACCTATAGTCTTTAATAAATAAAAGTCAGCGTAAAATTCAATATACTTTTGTTGTCAACAAGCATATTATGTGTCATGGTGAGGTAAAACATCAAGACGACAACTTAGCTGAAGTTACCTCCAACTGTATACGACCCTCTTCAACACATCGGTAAAAGAACACTTATGTGAAGGCTTCCTGGAAATCCAGAAAAATACATTATCAATCACTCAAGTATAAAACCAAAGCGAACTGAAATTGAGGCGCTTTTACTCGGATTCAAGTTACATATTCCAAGAAAATTTGTGGATGAAATAGACCCAAAGCGCAAATGGAGAATTTATTCAACGAGCTAACTGACCTAAATCCTGTCAGTGAAGATAAGATTGGTTCAAATCCAGACTGGCTAACATTTCCAGCCAATACCTCTGTTCATCAATTCAACAGTCTAGAATCATGACGAAAAGGCACCAAAAAGCAATTAAACGTTTGCTAAGCAATGAAGATATCGTCATACAGCGACTAGATAAAGGTTCAGGTGCGGTGGTGATGAACAGCGCTGAATATATCCAAGAAATGGAGCCCTTCCAAATAACAAGTTGAGGTTCAAAATTGTCAACCAACAGATAGATATGACAGGCCCGACAGAAAAGTCACAAAAGCGCTCAGAGAGCTGTTAAAAAAGAAAATGATTGACAACCACATATACAATGAATTTAAGCCCATGGCGTTTCTTCTACCACAAATGTATGGCCAAACCAAGATACATAAAAAGAAACCGCCCAATGAAACTTATATTGTCAATGGTGAATTCGCTGTTCCGCAAAGTTGCTCGTTGCTCAGTAGATAGGTTGAACTTATTAGATAACGACTAGTCAAACACACTGAAAGATTCGTTCCAATTCGCAGAAATGAGTAAACTTACCGTAAGTGATAAACTCGTGGTCTCCTTCGATGTTACTTCTCTATTCATACAGGTCCCACTGTATGAGATGTTAGACATCATCTGCCAATATGCTAACTTGCTTCCTCTGCCAAAACTGGAATTTAGGCAGCTTCTCATGCTATGTACCAAGGATATACAATTCTAGTTCGATAAAAAAAATGTATCGCCAGGTTGATGGAGTGAAGAAGGGGAGTACATTGGGTCCAGTATTAGGTGATATTTTTAAGGCCAATTTAGAACATACTTAACTCAAGTGTGCAATTGATGAAACAGCCTACTACAGATACGTGGATAACACATTCATAGTATGCAATGATTTGAGTTACGCTTCTTCTCTATTGGGCTTATTCAACAATGTATATAAGAATAATATTTTCACTATGAAGCACGAAGACGCTAATAATTTCCACTTCCTGGATATAAACTTGGAAAGAAAATCGGATGGGGCACTCGTGAGATTGGTATATCGTAAAGGCACATGGAGTGTTTTCTACTTGAACTTCAACAGCTTCTGCCCAGTCAGTTACAAGCGAACGCTGGTGAAAACACTTTTCTCCAGAGTGAAAAGAATATGTTCACCTGATAAATTAGACAGTGAACTAATGCTGCTTGAGAATTCCTTGAAAAAATGGTTATCCATAAAGTTTCATTGAAAAATATGGTGAGAATGGACGTAAGAAACCTGATGAACCTACGATCAGCAAGAAGCCAGTACTCATCAAACTCCACTTCAAAGGCGATGATACTATGACAATCATAAATAAAAGATTAAGCGCAGCCCTGTCCAGGACGTAGCCTGCAGCAAAGTTAGTCTCTCTGCTCCGAACATCTTCCTCGTTGGTGCAGTCAAAGATCGACAAGTACCCCTCATACGTTACCTCCAACTGCGTGTACCAATTCACACGTATCTGCGGGAGCAGTTACACTGGAAGAACAGAAAGAAAGGCCTCCGTCAGATTCTTCGAACAGTATCAAGGAGCTTCCGGTTAAAGGGGTCAAGTAGTTTAAGCTCTTCAATTACCAAACACCTGATAGACACTGGAAACCGAGTAGACGCGCTGGCATCATTCAAAATAATTAACATACAAAACAGCTCAAGTCTTCCTCGGTTTGCTGAGGTTATTACAATAAAACGGCTTAAACCTGACCGATGTGTCCAAAATGAATCTGTCGTTGGACTCCAATTACCCTGGTGACTCATCCCTTAATAACTCTTTGTCTTCTAACCTCATTAACTTATCTTTTCAACGCGCCCTCAGTTCGTTTCTTCTGTTTGACTTCCATGACAGATAATTTTTCTTGACCTTATGAGTTCTACTCACCATATTACGCCGTCCTTTTTTCATTTGACCTCTTGCACGCCAAATTTCAATCTTCTCTTGTCAAACTATGTAATTGTTATTAATACTTTGTTACCACCCTAAAAACAAACTTGTCAATTAATTTTCTTGGAACTTCTCTCTAACAAGATATATGTATATATACTTCACTTCAGCTGCTTCGTCCTCCTGATGTTTTACCTCACCATGATACTTATAATATGCATGTTGACAACAAAAGTACGTTAAATTTTACACTGACTTTTATTTATTAAAGACTATAGGTTGTATGCAGCTGATTAGAACCAAAGAAATAAAGTGAAACCATGTTATTCTTCACCAGTATTCGTTCTTTCTTTGTTCAAATTTAAAAAACGGAATTCTTGTATGAAATATTGGAATACCTAGTGATTATTTAGAGGAACTCCTGTTGAGTGAGATGCACTCTGCATGTCCAATTATCTTTCAATAGTGAAATATACGGACAAAAGGATGGTATAGCTATAGGCTCACCACCAGGCCCATCGCCTGCAGATTTTTTCACGTCGAAACTCGAAAACGCATACTTCAAAGAAAATGATTGACACCTTTGAGTTTTACAAGAGACATGTGAATCTTAATTTTATCTCCAATGATGAAGAAAATTTGGAGGATATTGCAGATTTTTTCAACAACTGCCACCCTGCCATCCAGCTCACACTAGAGAAGTAATCCGATTAAAAATATCCTTCAAATCATAATATGTGACAATGGAACACGGAAGAAATTTATCCACAGAAAGCCAACGTCGAAAGGACAGCTTACAAACTTTCATAGATGGTTCCCTTTATATACAAAACGAGATCTGATCCAATTACTGAGCCACATGATCTGCAACATTTTCAGCCCTGACACCAAGGCAGTGTAACTGATCACTCTTAAGAGGATTCTCATCGAGAATGGCTACCCTTATCGCTTCATGAAGCATACACTTTCTGTCCTCTCCCGCCCACAAAAAAACTTATCTATCTGAATCTGCAATTCAGTGGAGACTCATCTGCAGAAATACTATGTAACTGTCTGTCCTGTTCATTGAAGAAAGATTTCACAGCTGAACTTCGACTTGCTTTACTAAACCAATAGTTTGTATGAACGTGACGGATAAACTACCACTGTTGGCCTCATCAATGCGTATCTATCATTTCGCCTGCTCCTGTGAAGCTAGATATATCGGAGGTACTCAGGGTTTATTATCCAAAATTGCTATCGGACGTTTGCCCTCATGGTCTCACAAAGGAGGAATAAAATCCCCCAGATTATACTTTGGACACCGACTGAACCCATAAACTGACTTCAGAGTCATCTAAAAGGTACACAGAAACCTTGCCAAAGCAGTAAGAATTAGACTTCTTCAAACCGTAGAAGCTATGGCAATCCACATGTTACATTCTGAACTTTGCATACGGAAGTTTATCCAGTCACTAGACTTATGATGGACTTAATTATTCTTACCACTTGATATGTAATTTTTGTTAATCCTAGTTGCTTAGTTTTTTTTAACTTATATTTCTCCCCTCCATTATCACATTTTTACTGAAACTGATCTTAGCTTGACTCTCAATTGTAATTGAGCTCTACTCAAGCCAGTCAATATTAAGTCACGCAATTTACTTATTTAAAATTATTTGAGAAAACAAATGTACCGTGTTTAGGTATAGTATGCGGGGATCTCTTGTCTGATGACTCACTTTAATCTATTCTGAATCTTCAATAAAGACACTAACGATTAAGGTGCTTGCAAAAATTTCATTGATTTGATCTGATTGGAACAATGCTTCTTATACATACATGACCAAAAAATACACAAATGCTCTCCGTTCAAATGGACAGAAAGGTTTGGATAATAAAGTATGATGTGCACAGTTACTTGTAGTGTACTCATAAGCTTATACTTACATTTCATTGATATTACAATAAACGATTACCCAAATAAGAACTGAGGATTAATTACAAGTGGCTTCGTAGATTTACTCAAATTGTGACAAATGCATACAGCAACTAAAACCTGATGCTATGGTAAGTGAACACACCATGTTTAAATGAAAGTTGTTTACATGGCTTAGATATTATAAGATAACTGGTCGATGACCACAAGACTACAAACATGGATTTTATAAATACACAGCACTGCACAGCCTACTTTATATAATAAATAAAGCAAAAGTCGACACTTTGTTGAGTTTATGACAGTAATTTATTCCAAAATCTCCCCAAATTTTCACATTTATGTATACTAAAAAGTAGAAGCTAGAAAGCAACGAAAATACGGTCTACCCTTTTTTCCCTCATCTTATTGGTTATGAAGTAGAAGCGAAATCAATCATGGTTGGGAATAACTTTAATGAAAGCTTCAAATGTAAAGTAGATATCAATTTCGCGAAACGTGAGCTGACAGCGAAACGAAAAGATCAGCAGATAATTACTTTGAAATCGCATTCGCAATAAATAGAACAAACGACAGCTACACGCTGATATAGAAGTCTTGAAATCACAACAGCTGCGTGACTTGTTAACTAGTGATACTAGTGCAACTGGAAAGAAGACTTTGAAATTATTAATACCAGTGATCAAAGAAATAATTATTTAACAAATAAACACTACTGACCTTCCAAAATTGTGCCAACAGTATGCATGACAGTAAACCAACTGTTAGTATCACATAATTCGCTATCCTTTCAGGTGGTTGCAAAAGATGTGAACAAAATCTATTTGTTTTAGAGTGGCAGAATTTTGTCAAAGGGACATAGACAAGAGGACCAACGTTTGCTATCTAATTATGCAAGGAAGGAAAAGTAGGAAACATTTTTCTCTGACAATGCAAACAAAAATGACTGATCAATATACAAAAAGCTGGAAAATCCATATGACACAAAATATCACCAGTGAGTGAGTGGTTTTATAATACAATATTAGCCACAAGGGACATCTGGATTCGACTCAAAGTCAAAGCTCACCTAAAACCCACCCTATTTACTGTGGTGGTTAGGCCGTAAAAATAGGGGAGGTTGAGCGTGAGGCTAGTGATCCTACACCACTACAACGCAAATGATGAGAATCTACTGGGTAAGACAAGCCCGTATTACTCTACAGACACTTTTGTTCTTTCTTCGTTCAAACAAACAAATACAGAACAAGGGAATCTGCAGTGTGAACCTTGAAATTATATTATCGGCATGTGCTACATTCTGTTACTTTTACTGAGTTTCTAAAACTATTTCTCTTTGTTTTCATTCCTTTGGACGGTTTGCTAGTTGTTCCTCAGTCTTCTCACTTAGAACTTCACAATAATTTAGTATCCACAAATTTGTGTGGTCAATAAAATGCTTGTTATATTTTACGCTATAAACGGCGGTACGCTAGAGTAATTGTAAACTGCATTCGGTGAATATAAAGATGAAATAAGTTTATTATACAGATATGTTTGAACTTAGTCTTACTTAATCCCAACCCAATTTATTTGGATTTCTTTTACTTCCTAAACTAGATATTCAGCAATCCAACAAGTAATGAAGGTTACCCAAAAGATACTTTTGAAAACATCATACGCAATGGCGCAACTATTATATGCATGACACCTGAATAAGTAATTTTCAAACAACTTATTCTGCATATGAAGTTCAATTGAGAAATAACTTATATTATACACCGTTTGAAGATTCACATACTAGTAAATTCTTCAGTGGAAACAATCCAGAAAACAATTACCTGTATAATAATTATCAAGTAAGCAGGTAAATTCCAACCTTCTGGTAAGATATTGACTAATAATGGCAGCTCAACCCACAAACCATTAACAACAATCCACGAGCTCAGACCATATAAGCTGACCAAGCATGCTGCAAGCCATGTGAACTTAGCCCCATATTGCGATTCAGTCATTCTGAAAAAGGACAAGTATATGTATTTAAATAATTCATACCACACTAATGAAAATTCGTGCAATAAATAGTCTTATTTAACCACACAGGCATTCCAAATATAGAGAAACGGTAAAATTTAGAATTACCATGCCGAATAAATATCACAAAGAAATACAGATATACTAAGGAATGTAAGTGTACAATGTACAAATGAGCGAATTACAGATATCGCAGACTGTAGCACTAGAGCGCTGATGTTAATTCATTTCTTCAGAATAAAATGTAAACAGCATAAAATCGGCGAAGTACAAGAATAGAGTCCCAGGGTTGTAAACGCCCAAGTTTACAATAGTGCTGAATTAAATCTCAGTAATTCTGAAATAATTCTAGCATCCTATAGTGAGTAAATTCTGAATCTGTTCTCAAATGGTTTGTTTAATGGCACAGACTAGAACTCAGTGCTGGTTTTCAGCATGACTAGAACTAATTCAGCACCGTGTTCTTTTTCTAGGCATTTTCAGGAGTAGATCAGAACAAACTGGGTTAGCTTATTAGCGTTTTTCCAGCCCTCACAGGGCATATTAAGCATGGAATAGCGTTACTTCAGAACGAAAAGACCTAATTCAGCACCAGCTCTCATTTAAAGCACGACCAGCGTTATTTCAGAACATAGTGGGTAGATAAATATTCATTTACTATAAAAATGCATTATCAGCGCATAGGTTAGAATAAGTTTAGAATTGTTGTGAGCTTGGGCGTTGGACAATTGGAAATCATTTCATAAGTTTAAGCGCAGAAATTGTGCTCAAAACATCATCAGCAAACATCACTGTGTAACACTGTGAGTGTAAGTGTAAATTCTGGAGAAATTCAATCTAATCCCCGAAATATCACCAAATTTACACAATTCCCCTAAAAAATTTTACTTGGTTGGTACACTTCATTGAAAGTAGTTAATCGAATGAAATTACTAGTTTCACAACTATTTTTCGGTCGCAATTTCAACAAAAACATCGTCATGTCATTACAATAAGCTTACACTATAGCATGATGTACCAAAACACCGGTCTTCGTCTGACCTCCAAAAAAACAAACCCTGTTAAGGTCAAACGCAACACTTTAACAGATTTCAGATTTATTGGTTGAGGATAGAAGGCTTGGAGCCTATGTTAATCCTTTTCTAGCAAATTTCTGTGGTTGTCCAAACCCTTCTTGAACGAATCAGTTGAGGTTGCAGACACCACTTCCTCTGGGAGTCGGTTCCAACAGTTTATGCCTCGATGTGGGAACAAATACTCCACAGTAATATGATTTATTCTTACCTTTTGAACTCTTCTGCGTTGTTCTCTAAGGTGTTGGAACCTGGTGGGAAGGAAAAGAGAGAATAGGTCAGGACCGTAGTCATTATTTAAAATTTTAAACATTGTGATTAAATCTCCTCTCTGCCTATGGTATTGTAGCGGTAAATAATTCCCCAAAATTATTAACCACAGCAATCATCACTCAACATTGGATGCTGACCATCACTGTTTAAGTCGACTTGTTTAGCTGAAGGCTTCCGGTCAAGCATCCCCGCCATTTGGTGCTCCGTCGTGTCACGTGCGTGCACGATTACTAGCTAGCTAAGCATTCACCTCTACCCGCGATTTTGTCCCGAAACATAATACGTACTTTGGACGATAAAATCTGGTCTTTTGCTTTACCATTCGGTACTCGAAGAACGAACACTATAGAAGTTGTTGGTATAAGATCTTGCGTTAGTATAATCCGTACAACTCGCGAACGTCGATACCTGCATCCTCTAAACTGGTGAGCCCAACCACGAACTACAGGCAACTACCAAACTGGTGAGCCCGTCCACGAACTACATCTTCAATTCACACGCAGATAAACCCGGTGAGTTCGTTCCTTTCTGTGTTCATTCTTGTACTATATTGTTATTGGCATACTTTTCGTCATGGGTGATCCTAGCCCCAAGGTTATTCAGATTCGCTCAACCGCCAAAACAATCCAGCTAGTACCATATTGGCCAGATAATGCTGAAACGTGGTTTCGGATTGCTGAGTCTGATTTTTGTGAACATGGCATTACTGATCAACGTTCACAGTTCCTTGCAGTTATTCACGCCCTACCGCGGGAATTCAGCAAGTGCGTAACTCTGCAGATGTCGGTAAGTAACTCGTACGAGTTGCTCAAAGCATCCATCCTCAAGAGAAACGTTCTCACAGATCGACAACGTCTGGATGAGTTATTTCGTAACATCGAGTTAGGAGATCAGTCAGCCGTAAGCATGCTGGCAAGAATGAAAGAGATCATTGGCCAAAGTCAGTTCGATGAAGGATTGTTTAGAGAACTATTTTTATCCAAACTGCCACAGTCAGTTCAGACTGTACTTGTGACACTTCAAGGTGTTCTCATGGATGACTTAGCTGTCTCTGCAGATAGAATTCTAGAGATAACGAAATGGCCAGTTACCGAAGTATACTCTGTTACCGAACAGACTTCGAAGAAGGATTCTGCAATGATAGAGTTAATCAACTCCGTCCAGCAGATGCTAAGGTCAAACAAGCCTAGCAACTCCTCCTATCGTCGTTCTAAATCCCCTCAACGGCTGAACTTACGTGGACGATCTAAGTCCAACACACGTTCTCTCAAAAATCCTGACTGGTGTTGGTATCACAACACCTATGGCAAGGAAGCGAAATGTTGTCGAAAACCTTGTGATTTCGACAAAGCCTCCAAGTCTGTGGGAAACTATCCCGCCGGCACGCGTTAGCGGCAACCGTCGCCGGTGGCACTAGCCGCTTACTTTACATCCATGATGTAATGAGCCAGACTAGATATCTAGTCGACACAGGCGCCGAAGTCAGCGTCCTTCCTGCTACAGCAGCAGATCGACAGAAGGATCCTAACTTCAACCTACAGGCTGCAAATGGAAAACCAATTGCAACCTATGGTCGGAAATACGTCTATCTGAACGCAGGTTTACGCAAACCTACTCAGTGGATTTTCCTAATCGCTGACGTCACAATGCCCATCATTGGCACGGACTTACTTAATCATCATGATTTGCTCGTAGACGTCCGCCGTAAACGATTAATTGACAACACTACTAGTTTGTCTATCAAAGGCATAACTTACGTAGGCCCCAGCTTGTCAATCGTTAAGATGAAAGCAATCCTCGATCCAACTTTTCAACCGATTGTTGACAAATATCCGGAACTGAATTGCCCATCTAACGACCTCCCGTGTATAACCAGCAATGTTATGCACCACATCATAACCTCAGGACAGCCCGTGACATCTAAAGCACGACGACTGGCACCTGACAAACTGAGAATTGCCAGAAATGAATTCGATCATATGCTCACCCTTGGCATCATTCGGCCATCGAATAGTCCATGGGCATCCCCATTGCATATGGTACCGAAAAAAGATAGTAACGATTGGCGACCCACTGGTGATTACCGGCGAGTGAACGCCAAAACAACTCCTGATTGCTACCCTTTGCCTCACATACACGACTTGACGGCAACGTTATCTGGAGCATCTATATTCTCCAAAATCGACTTGGTTAAAGCATATAACCAAATCCCGATGGCAACGGAAGATATTCCGAAAACGGCTATCATGACGCCTTTCGGACTTTTTGAATTCCGACGTATGCCATTCGGCCTCCGGAATGCGGCCCAAACATTCCAACGCTTCATCAACGAAGTATTTCGCGGTCTCGACTTTGTATACGCATACTTAGACGACTGTCTCATTGCCAGTCCAGATAAGGAAACTCACCTTAGACACTTGGACTTGGCATTTGAAAGGTTACGCCAACATGGTGTTACCATCAATATACAGAAGTGTCAAATAGGCGTTGACTCACTCGATTTTCTGGGTCACACTATTGACTGTCAGGGCATTCGCCCACTGGCTACTTCGGTCGATCACTCTAAGAAAACGCGTTCTGGACGTCACGTTAGATTCCCAGAATACCTTCACACCTATTTCACATAACTGAGTGACACATCAATTTTTTTATGTTGCATCATTAAACACGAGTAAACGATATTTTTCCTATAACCGTACATTAAATTAGATATATATCTTTTTTCCGATATTTTGAACTTTACATTCGTTTACTGCACGTCATTTTTTTTGTAAAAAAACGCTTATTTGGTACATTTTTCTTGACAAGGTTCTCAGCATTCTTGTTTTCTTTTCCAGGTGCATCGGGCACCGGACAGGAAACAAACGAAGCACGGGATCCAACGAACAACATCGAGGAAGCTATGTACAGACATCCCATTAGCATAGGCAGACAGACCGGCAGGCACTCGATCAAGCCGCTCGGAAGATTTTTTTCACCCATCAGGGAACCATCGAGATTTTTTTACTTCCGGCTGGTCATGTCTTAGGGTTCTCACAAACCCACTAGGGGGGAGGAGTGAGCTGTAGCGGTAAATAATTCCCCAAAATTATTAACCACAGCAATCATCACTCAACATTGGATGCTGACCATCACTGTTTAAGTCGATTTGTTTAGCTGAAGGCTTCCGGTCAAGCATCCCCGCCATTTGGTGCTCCGTCGTGTCACGTGCGTGCACGATTACTAGCTAGCTAAGCATTCACCTCTACCCGCGATTTTGTCCCGAAACATAATACGTACTTTGGACGACAAAATCTGGTCTTTTGCTTTACCATTCGGTACTCGAAGAACGAACACTATAGAAGTTGTTGGTATAAGATCTTGCGTTAGTATAATCCGTACAACTCGCGAACGTCGATACCTGCATCCTCTAAACTGGTGAGCCCAACCACGAACTACAGGCAACTACCAAACTGGTGAGCCCGTCCACGAACTACATCTTCAATTCACACGCAGATAAACCCGGTGAGTTCGTTCCTTTCTGTGTTCATTCTTGTACTATATTGTTATTGGCATACTTTTCGTCATGGGTGATCCTAGCCCCAAGGTTATTCAGATTCGCTCAACCGCCAAAACAATCCAGCTAGTACCATATTGGCCAGATAATGCTGAAACGTGGTTTCGGATTGCTGAGTCTGATTTTTGTGAACATGGCATTACTGATCAACGTTCACAGTTCCTTGCAGTTATTCACGCCCTACCGCGGGAATTCAGCAAGTGCGTAACTCTGCAGATGTCGGTAAGTAACTCGTACGAGTTGCTCAAAGCATCCATCCTCAAGAGAAACGTTCTCACAGATCGACAACGTCTGGATGAGTTATTTCGTAACATCGAGTTAGGAGATCAGTCAGCCGTAAGCATGCTGGCAAGAATGAAAGAGATCATTGGCCAAAGTCAGTTCGATGAAGGATTGTTTAGAGAACTATTTTTATCCAAACTGCCACAGTCAGTTCAGACTGTACTTGTGACACTTCAAGGTGTTCTCATGGATGACTTAGCTGTCTCTGCAGATAGAATTCTAGAGATAACGAAATGGCCAGTTACCGAAGTATACTCTGTTACCGAACAGACTTCGAAGAAGGATTCTGCAATGATAGAGTTAATCAACTCCGTCCGGCAGATGCTAAGGTCAAACAAGCCTAGCAACTCCTCCTATCGTCGTTCTAAATCCCCTCAACGGCTGAACTTACGTGGACGATCTAAGTCCAACACACGTTCTCTCAAAAATCCTGACTGGTGTTGGTATCACAACACCTATGGCAAGGAAGCGAAATGTTGTCGAAAACCTTGTGATTTCGACAAAGCCTCCAAGTCTGTGGGAAACTATCCCGCCGGCACGCGTTAGCGGCAACCGTCGCCGGTGGCACTAGCCGCTTACTTTACATCCATGATGTAATGAGCCAGACTAGATATCTAGTCGACACAGGCGCCGAAGTCAGCGTCCTTCCTGCTACAGCAGCAGATCGACAGAAGGATCCTAACTTCAACCTACAGGCTGCAAATGGAAAACCAATTGCAACCTATGGTCGGAAATACGTCTATCTGAACGCAGGTTTACGCAAACCTACTCAGTGGATTTTCCTAATCGCTGACGTCACAATGCCCATCATTGGCACGGACTTACTTAATCATCATGATTTGCTCGTAGACGTCCGCCGTAAACGATTAATTGACAACACTACTAGTTTGTCTATCAAAGGCATAACTTACGTAGGCCCCAGCTTGTCAATCGTTAAGATGAAAGCAATCCTCGATCCAACTTTTCAACCGATTGTTGACAAATATCCGGAACTGAATTGCCCATCTAACGACCTCCCGTGTATAACCAGCAATGTTATGCACCACATCATAACCTCAGGACAGCCCGTGACATCTAAAGCACGACGACTGGCACCTGACAAACTGAGAATTGCCAGAAATGAATTCGATCATATGCTCACCCTTGGCATCATTCGGCCATCGAATAGTCCATGGGCATCCCCATTGCATATGGTACCGAAAAAAGATAGTAACGATTGGCGACCCACTGGTGATTACCGGCGAGTGAACGCCAAAACAACTCCTGATTGCTACCCTTTGCCTCACATACACGACTTGACGGCAACGTTATCTGGAGCATCTATATTCTCCAAAATCGACTTGGTTAAAGCATATAACCAAATCCCGATGGCAACGGAAGATATTCCGAAAACGGCTATCATGACGCCTTTCGGACTTTTTGAATTCCGACGTATGCCATTCGGCCTCCGGAATGCGGCCCAAACATTCCAACGCTTCATCAACGAAGTATTTCGCGGTCTCGACTTTGTATACGCATACTTAGACGACTGTCTCATTGCCAGTCCAGATAAGGAAACTCACCTTAGACACTTGGACTTGGCATTTGAAAGGTTACGCCAACATGGTGTTACCATCAATATACAGAAGTGTCAAATAGGCGTTGACTCACTCGATTTTCTGGGTCACACTATTGACTGTCAGGGCATTCGCCCACTGGCTACTTCGGTCGATCACTCTAAGAAAACGCGTTCTGGACGTCACGTTAGATTCCCAGAATACCTTCACACCTATTTCACATAACTGAGTGACACATCAATTTTTTTATGTTGCATCATTAAACACGAGTAAACGATATTTTTCCTATAACCGTACATTAAATTAGATATATATCTTTTTTCCGATATTTTGAACTTTACATTCGTTTACTGCACGTCATTTTTTTTGTAAAAAAACGCTTATTTGGTACATTTTTCTTGACAAGGTTCTCAGCATTCTTGTTTTCTTTTCCAGGTGCATCGGGCACCGGACAGGAAACAAACGAAGCACGGGATCCAACGAACAACATCGAGGAAGCTATGTACAGACATCCCATTAGCATAGGCAGACAGACCGGCAGGCACTCGATCAAGCCGCTCGGAAGATTTTTTTCACCCATCAGGGAACCATCGAGATTTTTTTACTTCCGGCTGGTCATGTCTTAGGGTTCTCACAAACCCACTAGGGGGGAGGAGTGAGCTGTAGCGGTAAATAATTCCCCAAAATTATTAACCACAGCAATCATCACTCAACATTGGATGCTGACCATCACTGTTTAAGTCGATTTGTTTAGCTGAAGGCTTCCGGTCAAGCATCCCCGCCATTTGGTGCTCCGTCGTGTCACGTGCGTGCACGATTACTAGCTAGCTAAGCATTCACCTCTACCCGCGATTTTGTCCCGAAACATAATACGTACTTTGGACGATAAAATCTGGTCTTTTGCTTTACCATTCGGTACTCGAAGAACGAACACTATAGAAGTATAATCCGTACAACTCGCGAACGTCGATACCCGCAGTCACTAAAGTATGACAAGGAGAAGAGATTTATACTGTCCTGTACTTCCTCGTATGATAAATTAGTCATTCCGAGAACCGACCGAAAGCTGCTACCTTGACGTGGTGGTCGGGCTTGAACACTGCAATGACCCAACAAGCTATACTGGCTGGAACTTATGTTCCTGCAGGTCCTACCATGCCAGAAAGGTTGCTTGGATAGCAGTTAGACTAAAAGCAGTTACCCAATCCAATCCTATGATTTCAAATACATCACAAAATATCATGCCGGATCGGTCGGGGCCCGGATTAACAACGACCGCGCTTTCTGC